GAGACAGACACCTTTCAGGGAGGCTTGTGTTATATTTCTGTGGGTGGGGGGGGGGGGGGGTGTACTCATAGTCGTGCATGCCGTAGTCGTTTGACCATTGACCTCGCATCCCTACAAAGCCGGGACGGAGCACGCCGGGTTCTCACCGGACCAGGCTCTCACATCACCAAGCGCGAAGCGCCGTGAGGTATTTGGCGAGTCGCATGAAGGGTGAGCTGCATCCTGCTAAGGGTGTTCGGCATCTTGTGCTTACTTCCTTGCGTACGGATGACAGCTACGTATGACTTAATTTATTTTCTGGTGCTTTCACTTCCAGAGACAGTTGTAAGCACTGTGTAACTGCCTCGAGGAAGCTTGACCATTTTAACACAACGTGGTGCGATCATCCCCCGTTGCGCGGAGTGAGGTTTCTCCACCCCGCACAACATGATCTACTCGACCACCATTATGGTTACCGCCAAAAAAAAAACCGAGGTAAAAAAAAAAACGGTAACCTGGTTGCCGAGTTCACGAAGTGAATTGGCTTGTTTTACAACGTCGTTGCCAAGCGACGAAAACCCAATCCCGATGGCAAACACCGAGTTCAGTAGGTAGGGAACGCGCATTTTCCCCTGAAGTCTTGTAAATAAGTAAGTAAGTGTGTTCTGACCCTAACGCATACTCCACACAGTCGAGAGACCTGTATAGTCTATTGTCGGTTGAAAAGTGCCAAGTGCCCAGTAAAATATCTCGACACAGGCGGAGCTCTGTCTGGCACTAATGAGAGCTTGCCCGGTTAGTGCCAGTTGGGCGCCGTTGTAACCCCCAATAGTGCCGGTTCACCCTCTCGCGCGCACACACACGACGAAACGGCCTTGCTTCACCTGAAGGCTTAGTCTATCATACCAACAGGATTCGGAGACGGTTTACGCTGGAGCTGGCTCGTTCTCTATAGGTACGAACTCGTGATGCTTTCAAACGTCATGGGCTTCTGATCGACCAATTTCCACCACGGCCAAGTTGGGATCTCAGTATAGCTACACAGTGCAGATAAAGACGATGATAATGGCATTTGGGGGAATCCATTTGGGAGCGATGAAGAGGAGGAGGAGAGGGAACGGGATGATCAGAGAACGACCAAGACAGCAATCGAGGAGGGAATTATGGAGTTATGGAGTGGAAGAGAGCAAGAGCTTCGAGCCAGACGACCTTACTCACGACAAACGGTGCAGGGCCAGACTATGTATAGAGAAGAACACTGCCGAGAAATTGCTGCAAAAATGACGATGAGAGTGATGGTGGTGAAAGCAAGGAGGATAATGATGAAAGCATCGAAAACGAACTCGAGTGCAAGGTAGCAGCCTTGGTATACACGTGCAGTTTTATTCTGTTGCTACCGTTTCTGTCTTTAATCCGGAGAATAGCTTAGCATCCCCCATGCCGCCGCCTCACGGGGTCCCCAGTTAATGGCGCATGTAGAAGTGTTTCGTGTTGTCAACCGCACTGAGACTGACGTCTTTCCATTGGTCAGCCGGTTAGCGCGGTCGATGCTACTTGAAAAAAAACACAAACACACAACCAGGCAAAAGACAGACTCCACACAGAGAAATAGGGTACACGTGCTGCTGCAGACGGGTTATGCACATCATTTGACCATTTCGTGGACACGTCCGTGGACGTCCGTGGACACGTCCGTGGACGTCCATGGACACGTCCGCGGCACGTCCGTGGACGTCCAAGGATGTCCACAGACGTCCACGGACACCTCCACGGACGTCCGTGGACGTCCATGGACGATGTCCGTGGGCATTTCCTTGGACAACGTCCATGGACACGGTTATGGACTTGTCCGCGGACGTCCATGGACGTCCATGGACGTCCCACGGATATGTCCATAACCATGTCCAGTGGACATGTCCACGGACGGGTAAGTGTCGGAAGTCCACTGCTGTCCACTGACGGATCACGTTTCCTTTTGTTCATGTTGACGCGCGCCCGCCCCTCTGCCAGGGGTCTCCCACACTTTCGGGGTTTTGATAGTCCGCCCGCCCATGAGCCGCCCATGGACAGCCCATGGGCAGCTCATGGTGGGCACTCCATGGGCTGCATTTTTGCCCACGACGGGCCGCCCATGGTCACGCCCACGGGCAAGCCTACAATGCCCGCCATGGGCTGGCCATGGGTTGCCCATGGGCACCCCAACATGTGCAGCCCAACGTGGGGCAGCCCACCACGGGAAGCATGTTAGGCATACCAGTCGGCCGCCCATCGTGGGCAAAATTACAGGGAAGTACGGTTTGGCCAGGATCCTTTTTTTGTGGTTGGCCTAAACGTTTGGTTGCAGTCCCTGATGTACAAAACAAATATGTTCCCGTGATCCCCACGACCAAGACGGCCTAGGAAAAAAAAGAACCATAAAAGCGTGAGGGTACTTTCCAACAAAAATGAAGGAAAAAAGAGAACGGAAACAAGGATCTTTTTTTCTTTTTTTTGTCTTCACTTCAAATCAGGGCTCACAGCACTAGTGCCGTTTACTCCAACCCGGGGTCACCCAGAATAGCCCCTCTCTACCCTCCCTTCCTGCGGTTCTTTGCCTTCGATTTTTAATTCGAGAAGAGTTCAGCACTCTCTTCCCTCTGTGTACACACGAACTACTAGCGCTATCCACTAGGCCAGGAGCGGAAGCGAGAGAAACACTCACTTTGCAAGAAAATCTCGCTTACGCCGGGACTCGAACACTTGACCTGACCTCTAGAAGGTGTCGAGGATACCAACTAGACCACCGAGGCGACCGTTGGTGCCTGGGATCGAACCCCGGCCCTCGTGAAGAAAGGACGCACCCACAAACTCTTGGGGTATACGTGCACATTCTCCCACACTACTGACAGTTTTGTTTAACCGCCCATGGGACACCCATGGGTCACCCATGGGTCACCCATGGGCCACCCATGGGCACTTCATGGCCGGCCATGGTCTGCCCATGGGCTGCCAATGGGTGACCCATGGGCATGCCCATGAGCGGCCCATGGGCGACCCATGAAGTGCCCACCGTGGGCCCTTCAACCTAGAACTTCGCCACTGGCATATCAAACTAGAACTTAGCCACCAGCGCCAACCTAACACGTTTCGTGTGGGCTTGGAGTTAGGGTTACGGTTAGCGTTACGGTTTTTAGCCGCAAAAGTGCCCGTTCCAAAGCAGATTATCTATTGTTTAGGAGTCCAATAGTTCGGTTGAAGGGCTCTCATTGGCCGCCCATGGGCTTCCCATGGGTGACCCATGGGCTGCCCATGGGCCTAACGGGGTGCCCATACGCGGCCCATGGGTGACCCATGGGTGACCCATGGGAGTCCTGTGTCCCCTACCGTGCGATTTGCCTTTGTCTGGATACGACCCTGCCACTTGTTTGTACCTTTCTTTGGTTTTTGGTTTTTGCGTTAGTCAGATTTATTTAAATGTTTGTTTTGCTCTTTTTCCACCTATACATTCTTGCTCTCACAGTCCTTGCTTCTGACACGATTACCTCGCATTCGAAAAATATGACCTCGCTTGACCTTACGAGGACTATGGGAGGCGACGCCAGGGTCAAATGTCGATCGCATGCTCCGAAGCTCAAACGAGTGGCAGAAGAGAAACAATCGCGTGCCGGACGCGGAAAGCAAACGGCAGCGCCGTGCACCGATCACGAGGGTTGAGGTCAGAAAGCTCATCCTTGTCGAATGCCGCGCGTCTCGTAGTCGTCGCTAGAGATGTAGACTACACCAACACCTGATCTCCACGTTCACTCACTTTGTCCATCCGTTTCATTCATCAGATGATGTCCCCTCAAGCTGGTGAAGATTTGGAACGCGGGAGCCGCAATGGGGCAGCAGCGCCCCTGGGAAAACCCAGGAACTCCCCCGACGAGCCGAAGGTGGGCAACGTACTCCACCATCTATCTGAACGTTCGTGATAGCAATATTAACGGTTAGAGTAGCTGCAACACTATTGCCGTTGGAAGGTGTGTTTTGTTTAGGGTATACGTACATACGTTAGTGTTTGTTGAGTGCTGACTTGTAGCATAGTGGATATGCTGTACACCTTAACATTGAGGAGACGTGTACCCTTTATTACAGCCTTCGAGTAAGAAACAAAACACTCTCATCCGTACTCCGGACGGAGACAAGTACTGAACGTTTTCATCAACTATATCAGCCTACCCCAGTACTTTACTCAAGCATCCTCAACGTTTGAGTATGTAACGACACAGTTTCGTAAGAGGTTCCTTCAGAACGTTCGTCGGGGTATGCCTACTGTAAGCATGAGAAGTTTCCGAAGACAAATGTGCGGTGTCTAGTGGTGTCCAGGCCCGGATGACAGGCGCACACGGGGGGAATAGCAGCCTCAGCGAAAGCTCTTTTCTCAATCGGTCTCCATCGTTTGAGAAAGAAACAATTAGACCTGAAATTCTCAACCGAACGCACGGACGGAGACAAAGAAAACTTCCTCGAAATGCTCGAGTGCGCGCTCCCTTACGAAACACACCCGTGGGAGTTTGAGAAATCGTTTCGAAACATTTTACACACCTTTGGAGGACTTTCCCTGCAGCGTCTTTAGGCAAGGCTTCTTGGGGCCTCTAGCCAGCCAGAGAACCAGAACATAAATTCAAATTTGGTGGCTGCCCGCATTTGACATACGCCTGCTTCCTCCAGGTGGACCTCCGTTTTCGCGACGTGCGATACAGCGTAGAGGTTTCCAAGACGAAGGCGTCTCTGATGGGGGGGGAGGCCGGGGTGAAGCACATCCTGAGGGGGGTCAGCGGAGCGGTGGAGTCCGGGCAGATCTTGGCCATCATCGGCTCTAGCGGAGCGGGCAAGACGTCTCTGCTCGACGTGCTTGTCGGAAAGGTACATGTGTCATAGAGCCCGGCAGATTGCGAGGGCGAGGAGACTTTAGTGTTTAGATCGAGTGGACTAGGCTCGTGAGAGCTTGTGCGGAAGGAGGTCTATTTCACGCGGCCCTTTCCCATATCTGATTCGTGTAGACAATATGTTCCATGCTCGTAGGGGCTCCAATCGTGAACCTCTCTCTCCCCCCCGCTCTGTGCTTCGGCGATCCCTCGCGGTGCGAACGGCAGCCGAAGGGTCCACTGCTGTCCCCCTTCTACCGTGTTACCCCTGGCCATGTCTCGGCTTCCCCCCATAGCCCCCCCTCTTTGCAGCTTCGCCCGCACCGACCAACCAAATGACTCCCGTGCGGGGGCGTACATGCGAAAACAGGTATCGGCCCGCACGAAGGGGCTGAACATCACCGGCGATGTAAACGTTAACGGCAAGGCGATGTCCAAGTCCTTCTTCTTGGAGAACGCCGCTTACGTTCCTCAGGAAGACCGCCTGTGGAGTGCCCTCACAGGTACCGAGCTGGGCAAGAACACAATAAACGCAATTGGATACATCAACCCCACCCAAAGATTCATCACACCTGCATTAAGATAGGGGGGAAACATATCTCAATCCGTTTGTTCAGAATGTGTATGGAACATTTTCAACCAATTTTGTTCAAGAACACTGCACGCATGTCACCTCAAAACCGCTTATGGAGTGCTGTCGCAGGCGCTGAGAATCACTCTCACCAACAAATTCGGCCTTGTCTTGTCTTGGTCGGCTTCCAACAAAAAAGCAACCCAGAGGGCACTTCTTACCCGTACACCCATGATTGTAGCGGTAGCAGATTGCATACCACGCTGACACGGAAGTTCGTTTCTCAAGGCGAGCGCGGTGGAACGAATCTATTTCATGAGGTTCGTGCTGAGCAGAACCGGGCCTGGGAACAATCCTCCCAGTCAGCGCGGTAATTTCGCCCTGGCTCGAAACCCAAGCAACGTTGAGCCACCTGCAGGAGGGACGTTCGTTCCGCGATGGCTGAAACCGACAAACGGCGGAGAGAAAGGCTTCGAGAGGAACCCAGCAGACATGACAACACCACAGGTTTTTCTAGTCACGCCCCGAGTTTTTTTTCGCCCCCCCCCCCAACCTAAACGCCCCCCCCCCCCCGGTGTTTGCCATCGAGGTTGGGCTTTCGTCGCTGGGCAACGACGTTGTAGAACAAGCCGCCCTCCCCGGTGTTTGCCATCGGGGTTGGGTTTCGTCGCTTGACAACTATGTTGTAAAACAAGCCGATTACATCGTGAGCTTGGCAACCCGGTTACCGCTTTTCTTTTTGTGCCTTTTTTTTTTTTTTTTTGCGGTAACCATGAATGGTGGTCGAGTAGATCATGTTGTGCGGGGTCGAGAACCCTCACTCCGCGCAAGGGGGATGATCGCACCACGTTGTGTTGAATTGGTCCAGCACCCTCGAGGCAGTTACACAGTGCTTACAACTGGCTCTGGAAGTGAAAGCACCAGAAAATAAATTAAGTCACCCCCAGCTGTCATCCGTGCGCAAGGAAGTAAGCACAAGATGCCGAACACCCTTGGCAGGATGCAGCGCACCCTTCATGCGACTCGCCGAATACCTCACGGCGCTTCGCGCTTGGTGATGTGAGAGCCTGGTCCGGTGAGAACCCGGCATGCTCCGTCCCGGCTTTGTAGGGATGCGAGGTCAATGGTCTAACGACTACGGTATGCACGACTATGAGTACACCCTCTAACCTAACACCTGCTCGCGTACCCCCTCGTTCGGCTTCGTCTCGACAAGGATTCATCGTCAGCGATAAAAAAACCAATGCATACGGCAAGACACCAATATGTGCCCTCCCCGCGTTGTTTCGCCGGCCGGGCCCCCTTGTACCAAAGTTCGGGAAAACCTGACGTTCGCGTGCAAGATGTACAGCCCGATGTTGTCTCGAGGAGAGTGCAGCAAGCGCGTGGACGAGGTGCTCGTCAGCTTGGGCCTCGAGGGGTGCCAGCACACGAAGGTGATGTCGCCGCCCAAACACGCGCGCAATTTTTCTGTCCTGATACCGCTCTCACGATTTCTTCTGCTTTTCTCTTGTCATGTCCATTCCGGGCGCCGGTCTACACCCTCCGGTACATTATGTATTGGAGTCCTTGAAAAAGACGTGGTACCTGTCGGCTGGTAGATTCAGACGCAAGATTCCTTCGCCCCCGAAACACGGAAAACTACGGTTAAACTCTGATGTGCAATTGAGGTATTGGGTATGTAGAAACCTGCTATCCCACTCATCACTACGTTCCCACGTCGAGACCTTCTCTTCTTCTCTCCGACCGAAGCCAGTGTTGCACATAAATTTAGCCCTGAATCGAGTTTGGCCCTACGCTTTGGGCATTTGTAAGAGATGCAAATAAATGTCGAAAGAAGGATACAATACTGGCAAGTCGTACAGATGGCGACGTGGTAATATTGACAATAAACCTGCGATTGATTCTGGCAAGCTCGATTCACCTCACTCAGCCGCTCTCCCTCGTCTTTTGTTTTCGGAACTCGTCACTTGTACCTTGTATATGCAAAGGTCGGAAACATCTTCCTTAAGGGCACCTCCGGGGGCGAGAAACGACGCACTTCGATAGGCGTCGAGCTCGTCTTCCTGCGCAAGATACTCTTCCTCGGTGAGCTACCGTTACACTGTACACGTGGTGGGCAGTATCGACAGAAACATCATGCACTAGCACGCGCATACTGCTGCAGGTCGACGCGTTGTTCCTGACCATCGGTGCACGCACGGCAGAGGGTTTGGGTTCTGTCTCCTGTGTAGTAATCGTATAACTGTCTACTTGATGTTGGTTTATCGCGAGTGCCCACGTCTGTCGTGCTGTCTCGCTAAACCACCAATTCAATGCCCCATCCTCTCCCTTCTAGACGAGCCGACGTCGGGTCTGGATGCCGGTTCTGCCTCCGAGATCATGGACCTGCTAAGGGGTCTGGCGTCGGACACGGGGATGATTATCATCACCAGCGTGCACCAACCGTCCAGCCGCGTGTTCAACAGTTTCGACCAGGTGACAACACAAAGCAGGCCTTCGAGGGCTTGGGAATACCGTCAAAGGCTGAACAAAAAAACAGTTTCTAAACGTTTGGGGCTACAAAGGCAAGCATGGATGATGTTTTTCGCGATGTTGAGGCGGATCGATCCTCGCTCCGGTTTGATCCGTCTCGGATTTATGCTTAGGCACGGTCCCCGAGAAAACAAAAGCACCAAGATACGTCGTTTCTCGGAAGTCTACAGTATGTGCCATCACCTCAGGATCTGGGAGCTAAGAACTTGAGGCTCAGAGACGATAAGATTTGAAACTTGCTCAAAATAACAAGAGTACTCATTCATGAATCTACAACGTAGCTCAGTTGCCTTTGGGTTGCCCCACAGAGAAAGTAAGAACGAGCCTCGCGCGACATGGTGGGGCCTTCCGTAGCTCGTGGCGTGTCTATCGTCCTTGTCCTACCCACGACGAACAACGTGGTGTAACTACGGAGCGCCACAAACCTGCTACTGTTGTATGCCTTTGCGATGATCTCGTTGCTGAGGCAGGTGATGCTGTTGACGATGGGGCAGACGGCCTACTTCGGGCCGGCGGTGGACAGTCTCGCCCACTTCGCGCGCTTGGGCCACGAGCCGAAAGGTCTCGTCAACCCGGCAGACTACCTTCTCGAGGTACCTCTAAAGCACCATTGAGAATTCAGTATCTAGAGGTAGCCCTTTAAAGACCATCGAGACATACCTCCTATTCTAGAGTTACTCTACGGCCGTCCTGGGCTGTGCTCCTCCCAGTTCCGTACGTCGTATGGCCTGTTGCGGCATTGACAAACGCACAGGTTGCCGAATGCGCATCTCTTCAGAAAGATTCTTGCTCTAACATGTCCGGGGAAAGCCCGACCTTGACTTGTCACAGACACCGGCACTTCTACCTTAGTCTTTATATAGCTTATAGTATTACCAGTACATCGGATCGCATTTTCAGGCAGGGTGCTCTATGCAGTCAAGTGAGACACGAGACTCTTGTGGAAAGCCGCCCCTTTTCTCCTCAATACCTACGTAGAGAGTTCGCTTCGTACACACAGCGCGAAACCCTTTATTTACTACATCCCGACCTCAACATCGTTCCAGCCACAATATCCCTCTCCCCTTCGTTTCCGATCCTCCCATCTATTGAACTCCACACCTAACTGACCAGATCACCAACTCCCACTTCAGCGACACAAAAGCCGTGCAGCGGCTGGCCGATGCATGGAAGGAGACACCGGCGTGTCGAGCGTTAGATACCCGTCTTTGTGCACCCGTCTCTCCGCCATTGGCAGAGGGATCGAAGGCCGGCTGGCTCTCATCTTTCCTGCAGCTCCGCGCGCTGGTCGTCAGGACCTCAATGAACAGCCTGAGGGACCCCGCCGTCTATGCCCTAAGGTGTGTGCCTCGATGACGGACGAAATCTGTTGTGTTGCATTGATGAACTGAATACGGATCCTGTAGACGTTCTTCCTGTGTGACCCCGGCGGATACGTCAGAGATGCACACCATAGAGAATGCACACCAATGCTGCTGTACAATCGCGTCAGTGAGTCTTACTCGAGTATGAGTAACGGGGAACGATGTATCTCCGCAAACCATTCTACTGAAACGATAACGTAGGTTTACAGTGTAGGGACGATCCGAATCGTTGCTATGAGCTCAACGAACGCGGGGTTCACTGTTGGAGGTCTATCGAGGGACCCACAGCTCAGGAGAGGCCTCGCTGCCCATCCGTCGAGGTACGTAGTCGTGCTGAGGACTCTTCGGTGTAGTTGTTTGGATAGCAAAACGCCCATTAGCTAGAAAACAATGCTTGCGCTCCTCTTGTCACTCTTCGGTGTGAACCAGCCGGGAGTGAACAAAGATTTTGTGTGTTTTCTTGCCTTCCGGCGTGGCACCCTTCAGGATTCAAGGACAAGCGGTGCCCGAAACCTGTTTTGGACTTCCGCCGACGATCTTCTCAGGAGAGCGCATCGAAACCGAACTCGGATGGCGTGTTTTCTTGCGTGCAGACTTTTGTGAACGATGGCGTACAGGCTACAGTTCACTATGGCGCTTGGCCGCTAGGGACAAGACGTATCCATTGTCGCGTGGAACGAACTGACAAGTATTTCCCAATTGAAACCTTGACCGCCATGCTGCCTCCCGTCCCTCGCGCCGCCCTCCCCCGCTGCCGCTCTCATGCCCTATCCTCCCGCGCTGTACACTCCCACGCTGCCCTTCGGCAAGGCTGGTGCTGTACGTGTTCATGTCCTTCTTCCTTGGCAGCGTGTGAGTGCCATACCCATGGAGACTTCAGCTTGACGGCGTGGAGTCCTCTACATACATAGTTGGCCTAGTTGGTTAGGGGGATGACCTCGAGTTATGATAACAACGCCCGAAGCCTTGGTTGGGTGAGGCAGATCACTCCGCGGCCGCGGAATATCCTCGGGAAAAAGGCTGAGAAGCCCACGTGTTTGCGTTCGGGGAATGGCCGGCGAATTCGCTGTCGTCAACCTAGCATTTGCTTCGAGCCGTAACGATGACAATCCTCATGTACGTACCACAGTATTGCATGTGTTGGCTTGAACATGCATGAGTGCCAACCCCACCCTCCGAGCAGATACTACCGGCTGGAAAACACGCAGGAGGACATCCTCAACTGGGCGAACCTAATCATCTGGATCAACGCCTTCAACTCGTGTGAGTGTTGGTCCTTGCTTGCGGTTCAAACGTACGTGTACTCTCGTGATGGTCATCGCTATCGGTTCCCTGAGCAGGGTGTTTGTTTCAGCATTTTTCGTTTTTCTGTGTCCATGTTCGCGTGCATCTCTTTCTCTGGGCTTGGGCCTGCCAAACTTGTTTTTCTGTGTTTTCTGGCGGACTGAAAACAATACACTGCCTTTAGCTCAGTAAACTCGCCCAACCATACCGAAAGCGGCATTGGCCCCGATAGCATTCGTAGACGTTAACTCGTCGACTAGTCGAGGCTCTGCCCATCAATCGTCTTCGACGGCTTTGTGCTATGTTACGATATTGATTTTTCCGCTTGCGAAACGATCTTGTCTTGGCACTCACCATTTCTCGCATTTGGTAAACTAGGGTATGGCGGCCTCCTGCCCCTGGGGCGGGACGGCCGCCGGGATCACACAACCGTCTTGGCGTATAGGTAGATCGGTTTGAAAGTAAACCAGTGGGCGGTATCGTCGTATAAGCATTGGAAGCCGTCGCGTTTCGCCGAGAGGTCTTAGTGGCATTCCCCCCTCGCGTCATCTACACTGACTGTAGCTCATTCATTGCATCTGTCGATTTTAGTTCTTGGAGTCATTGTGAGGGAGGCAAGCCGAAAGGTACACGTTAATAAGAGGAGGAAAGGCGACAACAGTCGGTGGCGCGCCAACTGTTATCATTTCACGTTTGCGGTGGAACTACTGCGGTGGAACTGCTGCGACGATCGTTTCGCTACAATTATGATGCGCAGAAGTGGTTGATTGGTTGAATGTTGATGTAAAATTGGCAGCAGGCGATGGCATCCAACCCGCAACAAGAGGTGGTTTCCCATCCCTGACCCAACTTGTAGCGACTTGTGCTGGTAGTGTGTGGATAGAGTGTGAGATCGTACTTCTGAAGGTCAAACAAGGATGATCCACAAAACCAGGGAAATAAATGTCAATCTTTTCGCGTCTCTACGGACGTGTCCCACCGCCATCTCGCCAGTAAGGGCGACGGAAGCATGCGCTTTACGATGTACGGGCATTGGCCTCAGCATATGTGTGTTGTCATCCGCAACAAAGCCGCATGGGTGATTTAGGGCGAAAAAACACAATAAAAGTTAAATCAAATTTGGGACATAAAAACTAAAAGCATACTTACTTCAGATGTGCTCGTTGTAAGGACTTCTGCTAGTAAAGAAGCATAGAGTGTCCGAGGCTTCAAAGTATACTTGTGAACACAGAGCGGCTATTTGGCGCCGATAGCTGACCATAGCGTTACTACTCGGTGTGTCCTCTGGCTGCTGCTGATGGCCATGCTCAAAAACCAAAGCCGGCATGTTTGACGTTTTCATCAGTATGCTCCCCATCGCTTGTATCCGCTCCCATAAACCGCGTTGCTGTTGTTCGCGCATTTCGTCCCCCCAAAAAACAATTGTTACCATTCCATCCTCGTTTGTTCATCAGACATGGACTTGGCGGCCATTCCCGTCTTCGCGCTTGAGAAGGAAGCGGTCGTGAAAGAAGTGCAGGCATGTATAGAGTTGCTCTGATTTTTTATTCGGACTGGCGGGGCGGGGCATTGCGATCTTGTGGTCCTGGGGGAATACGTTGAGTGCGCCGGAAGTGTCACGCGATGATCCGAGTCCCGTGTGTGCGCGTGGAGGACACTCAGTTGGCTTCCTCTTTGGAATTTTGTGGTATGCATGCGTGGATACGTAGACAAACTGCCAGAGACGCGTACATACTTACTCCCGGACGTAAGGGCAATGGGGGAGAGATCCATTGAGTTATTTCGGTGGAGGAAACATGAGAAATAATAACGATGGGTTTGAAGTGTCGGTTATCTCATGTCACAGCCCCCGGAGCCTGCAAAACAAATACGTATTGGATCCAACGCTTCCCCTACGTCGCACCCTTGTCGCGTTACCCCAACAGCACGGGCAGTACGCGGTGGCGAGCTTCTGCATCGCCAACGCGGTCGTCCAGGCACCCTTCGTGCTCCTGATCGCATTCTGCTGCAGCACGCCCGTTTACTGGATCACTGACATGAACGACGACCCCGTGAGGTATGGTGCACATGGGCTGTTCATGTCTCGAGGTGAAGGAGACGGGCGGCCGTGCAAACTGATACCGATAGCCATCCCCAGGAATCTAAGCTTGGTTTTAGTAAGGGTTACGGAGTGGGGGGTTAGGGTTATGGTTAGGGATAGGGACACAACCCCCCCCTCTCTAAATTCAGGCTGGTAGATTATCTCTTTTATCCTCACGAAGGCGATCCACTCACACCAAGAATGTGCGGTGGCCGGGAGTGTGTGTGGAAAACGAAGAGCTGGCTTCCGAGGCCGTGATGACGCTCCTTATCTGTCGACACAAGCCGAGGCCGGCAAACCTACCTCTACCTTGAAGTGTCCTGATTTCCTTGCTCTGAGCTCAACTGGGCGTGTGCACGTGGCGGAGATTGTGAGGGCGTGCCCTCCAAACCAGGAAAAAAATTGCTGCTGTCTCTTTGCTCCCGTTCCTGGGGTTTCCCGCCGTCAATTTCGATTGGTCAGGTATCTCCAGTTCGTCATGGTGATGTTTCTCTTGCTGTTCGTCGTCGAAAGCCTGGCCCAGCTTGTTGGAGTCCTTGTTAAGGTGAAACCCGTACTCGTTTTCTGTTTGAGTGAACCAAACGAGCGCAAATGAACCAGTGGGAAAGTGAAAAGCATTCCAATGGCTGAATGTGCGATTCCGGACAAGTCTAACGTCCGCACAAGTCTAACGTATATAGAGGTTGGGTAGCCATATTGCGGGGAAATACTCACCCGTCGGTTTCGTTCGTTGTTCGACCGTTGGCAAGGCGTGCGGGGCCGTTTCGTACACACTCCAGGAGACAAGCGCGTGTTTCCGTGTATTCTGGTACCGGGATATATGTAGATATACTCGATCATGCCCGGCCTCCTTGTGTCTTGTTGTGTACATGGCCGGTTCGTGCTTGCAGTGGTTTGCTTAGCCTGTTACGGGGAAGCCTCCAATTCTCCTACATGTAGAAAGCCGGCCGTCGGTGCCGCATATATAAGCTTACGTCCATCTTTCACCCCTTCCATTTGCCCTTCTTGGGGTTGTTTTGAAGGCCATCCCTTTCCCTCTTCTATCTCTCTACGGTTTACGTGCTCCCCAGCGTGACCACATGGATGGGCGCATTCATGCAAGTCCTCGATTGCCGGGGTGCGGTCATAAAAGACAAAAAGCATTAGGGAGGGTGTGGGAGCTCATGGTACACCCCATATTGTCGAGAGTTCGGTAACGATTCTAAAACAATACTTGTAGTGAAAACGAGCGGAAAATCGCGGCTCGACGGCTGTGCCTCAGGGCTCATTGTCAGAAGTCTGACCCGCTCGTTCCACCTCTCGCGCCTCGATATCCATCGTTTTCTTGGGGCGCCAGAGCTTCATCCTCGGGATCGCCATCTTCGCCAGCTTTCTCTCGATTTTCTACATGTTCAACGGGTGAGTGGGAAATACGTTGACTGACTGTGACCGTGTTTCCTTCGGCAATCTTCACGTTTCTTAGAAGAACTGGGCGGAAGATCATTCGCCGTGCCGGCTTGATCGTCCGTTGAGACCTGGTGTAGATGTTGCGGAACCAGTTGCTGCTCCTGCTTGTCGGTGGCAACTCCACCTCCTCCACCCTCTCCACCTTCTCCACCTCCTCCTTCTCCTCCTCCCCCCTCTCCTCTTCCTCTTCCTCCACCTCCTCCTCCTCCTCCACCACTACCACCTCCGCCGGCCAAAAGGGCGTGAATACGCCGTACTATTAACAATTTTGTGATTGGAGTGGTTCCCATCTGTAAATCCCCTCCCTATTGCGGATACGTGGTCCTGACGGGAGGACTTCCGTTTTTTGTAGGACCCCAAAACAACCATTCCCACCGGGGTCGGGTGGGTGGGAACAAAGAAATGTCCACGGGTGCGTCGTGCCTAACGCACTGAACGAAGTCATGAAAAATTATCAACATTCGCTGTATGACCTCCGCCTCTCGGCAAGCGGTTCCAGTGATCTGCGCACCAGGAATCACCTTGAGCTCAGTTTTTGTTGATTCCATGGAGCACTTTGCACCTTGTCCATACAGAACGCGCCACCGCTTAAGAACTTAGGAGTTAAGAACTTGAGCCTCAAATAATCCAAAATATAAGAACCTGGTCATAAGAACAGGTGCTCAGTTCCGACGTGGCATTAAGAACAAGAACCCGCCCTCATGGTGTACCAATGCGCACACAAGTAAGAACGGAGCCCCAAAACGCGGCGGCTGCAAGATGAGAACTCAGGACGGTTGGGGGTGACCCAAACAGCACTTTGTTTCAGATTTGAGGCGGGGAGGGGAAGAGGCCCTCGTGATAAAATGATTGTACGCCTGACGCTTGGAGGGGGGGGGCGTACTCTCATGTTTTGCATGCCTTAGAGGTTAGACCATTGACCACACGTCCTCGTCTGGACGCATAATTGTGCCCACAGGACAGATCACCGATGGTCAATCATTCCTTCCTATATACTTCTTAGTACTTTGCCAAAGGTGACTCAATAATGTCTTCCCTAGTCTAACTCGATACCACTTCCCGCCTTTCAACCCACTTGCTATGCCCCAGTACAGCTACCGTCTTCTCCTGGCTATTCCATGCCTCAAGCATATCCCTGTAGCTTTCCTTCCATGTGTCCAATTCAGTCATGTACATTTCAATACCCTTATCGCCCAATACGGACGTTTCCCAACGACATGAACCCGGTCTTCGCACTCGGAGCCGCATGCACATTTGAACTTGTCGTCTTCATTGTCTTCCTTCCCGAATCTTCGGCAACGTTCTCTAAGGCCGTTGTCCCCAGTCCTAATTTTCATCTTCGGGTTTGTTCCTTCATCCATTGGTCCGTGTAGGTACCTATTCCTTCTTTCAACATCCGTACACATCTAGACCCTCCTTATCCTTGGATCCTTTTGTTAGATTGTGTTCTCTCTCGGCAAAGTAGCAGATTTTTTGTTCTCGAACCCCTGTAGACCTATAACGTTCGTTTCCAATGAACCCGATACCTACCGTTCGTTTCCAATGTATCAACCTCATCAATTTTGAACTATTCAATACGTCATCCACAACCTTAACCCACTCCCTGGGTTGTTACCCCTAATCTTGTTTGTCCTCTTCGCCTCCCGAGCTTCTCTCGGTAACCTCTCCTCTCCCATATCGTAAACCATATGGATGGTACTTCTTGCCATTTAGCTTCCTTTTACGCCTCTTCCCGATCGTGGGAGTTGGGTCTGAAGGGGGGGCGTACTCTCTCTCTCTCTCTCTCTCTCATATTTTCTATGCCTTAGCGGTTAGACCATTGACCACGCGTCCTCGACAGGACGCAGCATTGTTGCCACAGGAACGATCACCGATGGACAATCGTTCGATCCTACTTTCCCAAAAAGGTGGCTCAAAAATGTTTTCCTTAGTCTATCTATCCTATCGATATCAGTTCACGCCTTTTCAACCCATTTCCTATGCCCCAGTACAGCTACCGTCTTCTCCTGACTATTCCATGCCTCAAACATGTCTCGCACCTTTTCCTTGTACTTTTCCCAGCTCACCCTTGTGCGTTTCCCTCTCCTTCTTGTACAACGGACATTCCGCAACTACATGAACATGGTCTTCGCACTCGGAGCCGCATTCGCATGTAGAATTGTGGTCTTCATCGTCTATGTTCCCAAGTCTTCGTCTACGTTCTCGAAGGCAAATGTCCCCAGCCCTAAATTTGACTTTCAGCTTTGTCCCTACATGAATTGGTCCATGAAGAAGGTACCCCTTAAATCTATTCCTTCTTTCAACATTACGTTCGCATGCAGACCCTCCTTATCCTTGGTTTCTTTGGTTTGGTGATGTTCTTCTCTCTCGGCAAAAGCAACAGATATCTTCTCCTTGTGTCCTCTAGACCTTGCGTTCCAGTGTATCGCCTTCGCCAATTTCGAACCCCTTCCATGCGTCATCTACAACATTAACCCACGCTCCGTAGGTTGGTACACCCATTCTTCTTGTTTGCCCACTTCGCCTCCTAAGCTGTTCTCGGCAACCTCTCCTCTCCCATACCGTACTTACATACATGCGGTATGGCCGTCTAGCGGGGGATTATTCGACTGTATCGTACACTTGCATCAGTAGTGTCTCGTGATGATTTCCACCCGGAAAGACCTGTGTCCTCTGCATAGGGCAATCGGTTTACACAGAAATAAGAACAAGAACCCCGTTTATAATAGATAGGTGGAAGCCTGCTCCAAATAAGAACTTGGCTAATGAGAACATGTGCTCGGTTGGAAGCAACCACTAAGCGTCGAGCCTCAAGCTAAATAAGCGGTTCTTAAGTGGTGGCGCGTTCTGTATGATGCGAAGTCGTCTACAATCGTGCTTCCTGGTTGATATTGATTCGCTGTTCACCCCTCTTGCGCTTGGCACATCCTCACACTCCCAAACGTACCCACGTTCACAAACATTTCCCGTCCTTTCGCCCAAACCCGATCTATCTGTGTCCACCACAGGTTCTTCGTCGACCCCAACAACACACCCGACGGTTGGCTGTGGCTGTACTGGATATCTCCTCTCCGGTGCGAACGATCGCCGTAAACGTAGGATCTTCTGAAGGCGTTTCGACTTGGGGGGGCGGGTGGCGGAATATTCCTACCCACCTTTACGGGGCGCTCCCCGGCCCTCCTCCTTGACATGGTACCGAGCACTCGCGAAACGTTTTAGGCACCAGGTCCCCAACTCTCCTACATGTGCATTAAGGGAGCACACGCCCGAAAATATCCGGTTGGTGTACGCGGTACGCCGCAGGTACTCGTGGGAGGCTATGGTGAAGATCGTCTTCGACGGCCAGACCTACGGAGGGTTTGATTCGTGCGTCACTTGCTACGGAAGGACCGGAGAGCAGGCGAGCACGAATTGGAGCCTGTATCGTTTTTGTCCACGTACAGCGGTGAAGACGAAATACAGGCGCGAGTGTGTCCAATATCCCGCATGTTTCCGCCAAACCCTCGTTGTAAAGACTTCAACACGACAACCGCTCCGAGCATGCTCGTCTCGAGCTGGTAGTTGATCTGTTGAACTATTAGCAAACATTTGACTACAATACGCGCTGGAATCTTGCCTGAAACTGTTGTTGTGTGGTTGTTTCCCGTGGTCTCGTGCGTGCTCTACGACACCCTGTTGCCACTTCCGTGCCAACCGACCGGACACACACGCGCTGGGCAGGTGCTAGACTCGCTCAGCCACGGTGGGACAAACTTCAATGACGTGAGCGTTGTGGCGTGGTGCTGCGCGTTGGCGGGGTTCTCCCTTGTGTGGAGGGTCGTCCACTACGTCGCCCTCAAGTGTTCCATTTTTTGAAGCCTATCGCCCGCGTTTCAGTGTGCCCATGCGGGCGCGTGGTGCGTGTTTATTTTGAAGCAGCCTCGAAAGCGCTCACCGGCTGATTTTTGCAAGACGTCAGTCTCAGTGCGGCTGAAAACGGAAAAGGGCTTCTAAGCCCGATGATCCGGGAGGACGTCATGGGACTGGCTAGGTTATTCTCCGAATCATTTAATTTGAGTATCCATTTTTTAGGTAAAGTTTAGGTAAAGTAGCCTGTGACCAAGGGAGGGAATCGACCGGTCAATCAAGTGTTTGATCGGATGGAGGTACTGGATAGAGAGATCGGAACGGTATTAAATGTGAAGAGAACAACAACAGAGACAGACAAGAAGAGTAGCAGATGAAGAAAAATGGCACGTATCTTCCAAGGCTTGTGTTTTCCGCTAGCATGTTTGGAGTTAGCACGGACTGGGCTAACCAGCTGACCAACTAGAAGACCTCAGTCTCAGTGCGGCTGGAAACGGAAAAAAAGCGCTTCTAAAGGCCATCATCTGGGACCTCGTGAGGGGACGGCATGAGGGGAACTTTGACTGCTATCCGGAAAAACGACAGAAATAAACGCAGGAAACAAAGAAAATTACACGTATCTATGTACCGAAGCTGTTACTTTGCACCCGGTGGTTCGTGTCTGTGTGTGTTTCGAATTGGCATCGACCGCGTTAACCGCCCAAACAATGAAAAGACGAGTGAGTGTATTGTGTGTTTTCGCCCCATCATTGCTGACGCACACAAATAGAAATATCTACTTATTCCCGTTTGCCCAAATGTCGACTAGTCTGTATAGACTATTCCCAAACAGGCTACTACTGGTAGCTTCATGTGGATAGAGAGGGGGGGGGGATCCCTACATATATACGTTGCCTTCATATGTATCTACTTTGTGAGAGAATGTTATTGACTGTGGAGTGAACGAGAATGACGAGGGTGCACAACTATTGTACAGCAGTAGATGGAAGAAAATGTTTGAGCTGGAAAATGGTAAAGCAGATAATAACCGATGTTTGGCGCGTGTAGTGGAGATTCCAAAGAGAGAGATAAATGAATGCGTCTTCGGGTTTTGGATTGTAGGAAATGGAGGGTCGCGTGAAGAAGTACGATAGTTGCCCTGAAATACCAACACACAGTGTAGCTTTGAACGGATCATCAACAGAGGGAGGTACTCCCCTACTTTGTTTGATTGCTGGGAACGAGCTCATTCGCGTAGAATAGGATGCGCGGAGATGATGTTGTTGCGTGTAAGGTAAAGAATAATGTCATTCATTGGTATGTAAATAGGCGAGCTCATTGCAACTAACTGTTCCATTCAAATAAGTTTAGTTTGTATTCACTGTTCTTAGAATTCCGAAAGTGGAGATGTTTTGGCAGGCAGGGTGTTTCCTTGGTTGGTTGGGTGTTTCTGGTCGTTGTTCCTAAGTCAACGAAGTCGGGTGTTTGGTGGATCTTTCTTTACGTTGGCTCGCGACATTTTTCTGGCGGTTCGGGTGAAGTATACTTTTGTATTTCTCCACACGTGGGCGTCTAGCAGCGTGTGGACGCTGAGAGACGAAGGAGGAGGGCTTCCCCCCTTCCTTTGATATTTTTTGCGTTCGGCGGTCACGTGAAAAAATACTGTATGCTTGTATGTATACTGGTTTTGACGTGTTGGCAAAGCGTTTGATCACACCGCCCACTGCCTACACTGACTGATGATCGTCCTTGATGCCTTTCACGTTCGTTCACAACCGAGCACTTCCGCCGTAATTAAGACCGGGGACTTCCGATCACCACGTCCAACTTTTACGTTTAAATTCCTTCCTACAGCGTAACCTGTTGTACACCCTCTATGAAGCTCTCGTATTCGCACCAAACAAAGCGGTATTCGGAGTGAGGATGTTGTCGATCCCTTGCAATCAATCATCGCTCTCAACCAAAGCTTCATGGAGAGAGCCAACGTCAGCAGGAAGAGTGACTTGGACAGCACTACCAACAAGCTCAGGCAGCCCCAGAAGCGATAAGCTCACGCTACAGTAAGGCAAAACAAAAAAAGTCCAACATGTTTGTCAGCCATTGACCGAGGGGCTACATTCCCTCCGAAGAATCTGAGCTCCTTGCCAGACAAAGGGTGACCTGGTGTCAGTATGAAATTTTTCTCCAAAACACGTGGGGACACTTTTCGTACTGAAGCCAAGTCAGCAAATTTTTCCAGAACCAGGCGATCGGGGGTGAGAAAAGTGCGTGGTTGGGATCTTCGGAGTGAACGTGGTATTCACCTTTTTTTTTTAACGTCCTGTGAGACCTCTAGAGAGACCGTATCGGTCTCGTAGACGAACGAATCTCACCGAAACATAGGGACTTCTCGACCGTGGATGACGTCATCGGTCGATCACGGATTTTTTGTACATTCCTTGGAACGATTCGTTGAAACGATTGGCCAATCAGAAAGCTGCAGGCACCTTTCCTCTCTCTCTTTTCCCGCACAGCTATCTCTCTATCTCTTTTAGTCATGCGCTTCATGCCATCCAACCAAAATCTTTCAAAAAATCTTTCAAACAATCTTCTCAACAGAGCATGCTACTGTAGATGTTGAGCAAAGTAGACTTCGTGCTTCTCCTGCCAAAGGCTGCCCTGCTGTGTGATTTGGGCGCATGTCGGGCGCACGCCAAACCACCAATCCCGATCGATGCAGGGCTTGGAGATGCGCCACGCGGCCCCTAATTGGTAGCCGCAAAGGCCCATCAACGAGGCACAACAGCACTAACCACTGCTGTCTAGTTTTCTGTGTGTGTGTCAACACCATCAATCACGTTTCCCCTTATTCTCCTACTCAGTCCAGTCCGGAAACGTCGAAAGCAACGACGGTCTCCATTTACCAAACCTGTCCAAGATTCACAAAAGAGCCCATGTCCACGCCATGAATACCCAATCAACGCCTCTTCTCCGGATCAGACCCTTTGTCCCTAGGCCACTACACAAACAGACCGAACCTCGCCCAACTCCGGCGGTACAAACTAGCAACGTGTGCGTCATTTGCAGGAGGGTTAGTGGACACACAAACGAAACACGGCGTCGGACGAGTGGATCAACGAATCCTCGTTCAAGATAAAACAGGCAACAAAAAATGTCTAGCCGGGTCCCCCGCAGCCGAAACGTGCGCCCTTCTACCCCCCCCCCCGGAACCCGCATGTACGTCGCCCGTCAATGGTCTAAACGAATTCGGCCTGCGTTTACATCGCAACTAAACCTTTCAAATTCTGCGGGTCACCTCCCCCCTCCCCTAGCCCGTCAGTAGTAAGACCGTCAGTAGTAATACCGTCAGTAGTAAGACCGCCGAGGGTTGTTGAGAGGGTTCGGGCGGAAGCGGTAAGCGAGCATCATCCGCTTCCGGTACTGCTCGAACTCGTTGTCCCCCTCCGTCACCTCGTGGGTCTCCTTCACCCCGACGCCCGCCCCGTCCGCGCCGGCCGCCATATTAACCGGCACCGCGGCGCCTTCCCCCTCCTTGCCCAGCCCCTTCCCCTCCGTCCAACCGGCCTTCTTGAGCATCTGGAAGCCGATGTTGTCCTCCGCCAGCTTGTTCTTCTCGAAGTCTTCCTCGGCCTCGGCTTCCTCGCCCTTCGCAGCCTTGCCCGACTTCTTGAGGAACCGCTCCAGTTCCTGCGAAACGCGCACAATTTCACACGAATGTTAGACACATCAGACCCCTACATGTCGAGCTAGCTCTCTCCAAGAGTATGTCCCTCGTGATCGGTAGGACATGGCTGTATCTGAGTAAGTTTGCTCCTTGGTGACCGGTAGGACATAAGGTGATCTGAGCAAGCTTGCTCCGAGGTGATATGTACGACATAAGTGAGCTAGCACACGATGTGTCCTGCGCGTGCACATTTTCAAGGAATTATGCCCGCAGCGGGCGTGGACCGGGGAGGGGTGCGTTCGCCTGTACCGACCTACAAGTACAACGCTTAGGTTGAAGGAAACAACGAGGTACCGAAGGCAAGGAGGTGGACTACCGTGCCCCGGGTGACGGCAGGAGCTTTTCCCTGTAGAACCACAGGACGCGGAAGTCCGCGACCCTACCTTCGCCCTCCCCTTGTCCTCAAAACCACGCAAAATAACGCACCAATGCACGTCCCGAAGCGTGCGCGCTTCCGCCCTCCCAGGCCGCTCATGGGAGCATCAACGGGCGGACGCTGACTGGCCCAACGGTTTGATTTCGGTTCTCTAGCAACAAACACAACAGAACCCACCCCTTGCCTCAATTTCCCAGAGCGTATCCAGGTCCACCCCCACCAAAGAACACGTGAACTGCGAGCTAGTCGGCTTCGTACCCCGCGATTTTGGCGTCTACTCACATCTTTCGGCAGGTACTGGCCCATGTGATGCGCGCCCTTGGCCTGCAGGGTGACGTTAAGCGCGCCCTCCGCCGTCTTGAGCATCTCCTTGGCCCTCTTGCGGTGTTCCCACGTGCCCCCGTCGATTACGCCTCCGGTAGCTTCGGCGTCTTCCACTGTGTCCCTGTTAACGGTGTTTTGACATCACATGAGGCCCCGAACTCGTATAGTCGACATCCCAAAAAACAACACATGCATGTTCCTGTTAACGTTGTATTGACATCACGTGAGGCGCCGAACTGATAGCGTCGACATCCTAAAAACGACATAGGTCGGATGTGCTGCTTGAAATCACGTGCAAGCGTCGACATCATGACAACGGCTTTGCATCGAACTGACCGCTAATAGGCTTGAGGTGAAGGAGCAGTGAACGTTAAGAACAACAACATCAACAACAACAACAACAGGAGCAAGCAGTGGTTTCCTCGTGCTTCTGAGCGTCGTCATTTTGTCATTTTCCTTCCGCCTTGCCCAAGGGGAAGGGAGATCGATTTTCACGGCGTGTCCAAACATCGCCACTTGTCTCTTGGCACGACCCGTACAAAATCATGTGCTCGCGCGCACGTTTCAGACGGGAAAAATCGGTGCGGGTAATCGGTGGATAAACACACAAACAAGGCAGGCAGGCAGGCACCGATTTCTCTCGCAACGCAACTCGATGGGGATAATCGGTGGACACACGATATTTCATGGGTCAGCCGACCAGCGCTGTCGATGCTAAACTACAACTTACTCCAAGTGAAGACATAAACACACACACGCGCACAAAACAGATAGGCAGGTATCGGACGCTCTCGTCCCTCGCACCTCTCCTCCTCCTCCTTCTCGTCCCCCGTGGCCAGATCCCCGTACTCCCTCAGCCTCTCCTCGTAAAGCTCCCGCATGCGCCTCTCGGCCTCCCCCTCCGGCTTCCCGCCGGCCGCCGCCGCCGCCGCCGCCACCCCGGCCCCCGGCATGGCCTGACGAGCCGCGGCTTCCCTCACTCTCGCCTCCAGTCGCTGCATCTCCTTCTGCTGCCGGAGCTGCTCCTCTTGGTCAGCGTCCATCGTCTCCGGCAGGGCAAGCCCCGCGCTCTTCGCGTCGCGACGGGGTCTGTCGGAATCTGTTATTTTTGCGGTTCAGATCCGGGGTGTGGGTGTGTGTGTGTGTGTGTACTCATGAATTTTGCGGTTCAGATGCGGGGGGGGGTGGGGTACTCTTATGTTTTGCATGCCATAGTTGTTAGGCCACTGACCGCGCGTACTCGAGAGAAGGGAGCATTGTTTCCACAATAAGTAGGACGGTACGCATCTCTCTCTCTCTCCCCCCGTATTTCTAAGTGGTCTGGGCTGGAAAAGGGGACACTCTGCGGTGCCCCCGCTGGAATAGCCTGCGACGCTCTTGTGGAATTCTTCCGTCCTTCCGACGAGAGCAGCAGCACTTCATATCACGCAACTTTAGAGCTTCTAAAGTAAACGCCTATGCATAGGAGTGCCGCGACACCGCCCACGACCAAAACGAGAACATTTGGGTGGTATCCTAGGGCCGCCGGCGGTCACGCGTAACGGCGGTGTCGACAAGAAACTTGAGAAACAACGTCCTCTGTCTTCCAGTAGCGGACGAGGTCGCGCAGTCAACACCCAAGAGCTGTGCAAAATTTCCGCGAGGCGCGATTCCCCTCTCCACGTCGAGTGCTTCACCTCAAGCGCACCCACCACTTCATCTGCAGCCATACACTAACTACCGACCAACACATCTTCGGGCACCGCAAACTACTATTTTTCTCTAGTATCTACACCGAAAAAAACAACGCTCCTCCGTCGCTGAATCCCGGCTGAGGTATACACGCTAACCGCTTGAGCAGACCAACACGGGGCGTCCATCTTTCCCACCAACAGGAACATCCAACAACCAACAACCACACCAAGATAAGCCCACGCACCCCCCTCGCTGAAGCCTCGGCTGCGCTTGCCCAGCCCCACGCCGTCCGCACCGCCGCCAGCGGCGACAACACTCTTCCCCGCGCTCGAAGCCGCCGCCGCCGCCGCAACCAGCCCCGCCGCCGCCGCCGAGGACGCCGCGTCAACGCCGTTTCCGGCCCCCCCGAACCCGAGACCGCCACGGCCCGCTCCATCGACCGCTGCTGCCGGTGCCGGCGCCGGCGCAGCCGCTCCGCCCGCCCCCGCCCCCCAGCGATTCTTTCGAGGGCGTGCGGTCGCGACCGGCGCGGGGCCGTATGTGGAGGCCGAGCGCATTGCCACCTGATACCGGGGAGGGGGGGAATAAGGGCGGAACGTCAAGATTCAGCGACAACGTGACGCGTCCGTGAGAGACCCATCTCAAGATAGCGCAGTGCATTGGATTTCGGGGACGATGGCCGCCGTTACTGCAGCAAGGCGCAAGACTTGCGGTTTCGGTCCGTAGCGACAGCAGAAGGACAGGTTGTTCGTTTCGCCCCAGGCGTTTCGCGTTTGTTGACAAAAACGAACAAAAAAAGAAGCAAGCTTCTGCTAAGGATAGCACTCGGCCCGCCTCCGAATTGGGAAATATCTTGAAGGGGTTTCTAGTCTTTCGGTGATTGATTGCATACATCTTCCCGTGCAGCAAGACACATGAAATCCTAAACGCGCGAGAGCAGTCAGTCACCTGTGCAGAGATCTGCGCAACGATCTGCGCCGCGTTCCCCCCCGGCGCCCCCCCGTCCCCCCCCTTCCCAAACGCCGCGGCCGTCGCGACGGGTTTCGCCACGCTGGTGGCCGCCCACGAAGGGGTTGCTCCGCCCGCAGCCCCACCCCCTCCCGCGCCGCCGCCGCCGCCTGCGGCAGCGGCGGCGAGGCCGGCTCCCGGGCCGTAGACGTTACCGGCGTCCTGGGGAGTTGGACCGTAGTCGGAGGCGTTAGCCTCCCCGAAGCCGCTGCATACCCGCTTCACCTCCTCCTCGGTCTTGATTTCGTCCAAAACCTGCAAGTGAAAAAAAAAGAAGGTGTGTTTTCGCAAAGACAGGAGGCATCATAATAACTGACTTCGTCCGAGGTCTATTTACACTCTGTTAGTGATCTTTAGGACTAACCGATGTTGCACTTTGCAAGGCTAGGTTCCTCACCCCACATTTACCCGAACCCTAACCCTAACCCTCACCCACGGCCAAAGCACGGCCTAGCGGCCGCGAACTGGTCGAGAACGCGGCTGCGCCGCGTTCTCGGAATGCGGAACGGCGAGAGGGCGCTGGAGAGGGTCAAGGCTAGGAACCAACGCCGGACCAATCAGAGGGCGTAAAAGCCGTTAGATAGGAAGAGTCACTAACAGACTGCAAAAACTGCTGCTTCATCCAGGACCTCAACCGTAAACATAGAAACGTGTGCGCTGCGATACGGCCGCGTCTCTGCCGCAAAAGCCTGCCATAGTACAGGAGCACCTCCCTCCCGCCACACACCCCAACCCGCGTTCTCTCTGTGCCTGGCCATTGCGCTGAAAGCCGGGGAAGTGCATAAACAAATTCCGCACCTGTCTGTAGAAGCGCCCCCCAGGCGAGGACGCATCAAACAGGAAGCTGAACTGCGCATTCCCCCTGCTCTTCTCCATGATAACCTTGTGTTGTTTCAAGCATCGGATGTACATACGCAGGGGATTGCCAACAAAACATCGAGGTTGCGGGTAACAAAGTTCAGAACAGAGCAATTTCGTCGTTGTCGCTACACACCGGTTCGACGGCTGCGTGAGACTGCTTTCCCCCAAGCACATGCCAGCATCGTCGAAGCAATACTTATATGCATACCGTAGGTCTCGTTGAATAGGTAGCGACGGACGCTCACAGCCTCGGGGATCGCTTCAGTAGGGGATTGGCCTGACTGGCCCTGAGTCCAAAATCCTTTTTCGACACTGATGGGAAACCGTCTTGAACGGGAATGGAGCAGCACAACACAACATGACACGACGATACACAACACAACAAACGTTGAAACAGCACAACACCCACCACAAAACATACCAAGTGTGTACAATGTACACATCGCCCACCTTGCTCTTGTCCGGGTTAGCGTGGAACCACTCCGCCGTCTGCCTGATGGTGATCTTAGTCTCCTCGTCTAAGTCCGACCCGCCTGACGCTTGGGACAGAGCCACCGCCGCTCCGAGCCCTACCCCGACTTGACCACCCGCTGCCGCTGCCGCCGCCGCCGCCGCCGCCGCCGCAGCTGCAGCAGCTTGACCAGCAGCAGCAGTTGCTGCTGCTCCGCCGTATTGAGTGCCCGTTGCGACTGCTCCCGTAGTACCCGCAGACGAGGATGCAGAAGTGCTGTCGGTTTTGGAAGAAGGTTCCTTAGAACCGTCGTCCTTTGGTGCGATGGCCGAAGGATGGATGGGGGGGAGGGGGGGTAGATGGATTGGAACGTGAGGTGGTGGACCATTGATGGCGACGACTTGGTGGAGCCTCGAAAATGAGTAGCGAAAATATCCAAAATAGCACTTGCTTTCGCTGCTACTTATCTTTACGCTCAAGCCGCAGCTGAACCGCCATGTCTATTGTACGAAACGCCGGCGGAACTACCGCGGACACCGGCCACGCGTGTTTCTGGAAGAACAAAAAAAAAAAGCAAAGTCTTGGTGGATCCCTGTTTTCCTTGCCCTTGGTGCAAGAATCACTTTTCTGGCAACGACAACACGACCACCAAAACCAACCACCGCTAGACCCAAACGAAAAACATCTCATCCGAGACCACAACAACCATCTCCAGCAGCGCAACTCGCCCACCATCTAACTCACCTCCTCGCTGTCCTCGTCCTCACTGTCGCTGTCCGCGACGAAAGCCTTGATCACCTTACCCCGCGCGTTGCCCATCTTGGGCCGCGCCGCCCTCGACCGGCCCCCGCCGAAACCTCCGCCGAGCTGGTACCGGCGGGAGCGCTTGTTCTCCGCCGCCACCCTCTTGGCATGCGCCTGTGAGGGGTGGAGGCAGATCAGTAGAGGCACAATCTCGCGAAAATGATCAACACAGCAGTAGCAGTTATCGATGGCACCATGATCATCACTTATAGGCACTCTTGGCGTTAGAGGGGTAGAGACAGATCGGAGGAGGCAATATCGGGCGACAGTATAACTATCACCACGGTTACAAGTAATCGATTGAACCATGATCATCACTTGCATGCATCAGGCACTATCACGCGACTAACATTACCACAAAAGGCAGCAGCTGTCGATGGAACCATGGTCATGGTAGGCATCGCCGTAGGAGAGTGAAATCATCATCAAAGCACTTACGGATGCAACCATGATCACCGTGCGTCTTTATATTCATCATCTTTGTTGTCTTAACCTTTTCAAAGTCTATCGGCTGTTTGCAAGGGGTATAGAGAACGTGGATTAGTCTAGCCCAACAGGTTGCTTCCGTATCGATCTCGTCGAGGGCTAAATTTCCTTGCACGTGTCGGTCGGACTTCGATAGTACCCTCTTGGTTGTGGAGCAATCGATCTTCAAAACATTGATCGCACACTCCTGTATGTTCGATGCCCTTCCACGGCGGTAACTTTGGAAGCGATGAACGATCAAGAGAATACAGAGGTACTGCAGCCGTGATGAACTAAGCAGTAGACCACACACGACCACAAGTCTTTTTTCCAAAAGAACCAACAGTCAAGAGTAGGAGCAGAGCTGGAATACACACATAGTTCGGGGTGCCATGGAAGCAAATCGACTGACCACTCGTTCCTTCTCCAGCTTAGCCTCTTCTATGGCTTTTTTCTTGTCCTCCTCCTCCTGCTTAAGCTTTTTCTTCCGATCTTCCTCCTCTTGCTCCTGAAAACAAGGGAAACCACGCATGGCACCCAAAGAAAAAGGAGAGAGAGTGTGAGTGTGTGTGTGACGCATGCCGTGATCGCTAGATCACTGACCTGGCATCCCTACAATGCCGAGACGGAGCAAACGGAGGAGGGGGGGAAACTCTCAGGTGGAATACACATAGGCTCCGAAATAACCGACAGTCTCGGGAAATGCCTCTGTCGTGCCGCAAAACCTCCAACTGGGCATGAATAAGTTAGCCTTATCGATTTACACGGGAGGGACACCAGCACCACACCGGTACAAACAGAGCGCCGAGAGAGAAGCAAGAATGGCCCATGATGCGGTGCGCAGCACCACAAACCGCAATCAAGCTGCCACTTTTCGCAGTCGATCCCTCGAAACACGGGTACTGCTGTACACCCGAAAATGCACCCGGTATTGTACATGCAAACCACACGGCCCCCGCACGATTTCCCGCAACCAGCAAGAGACCAATACGCTCCCAAGCCGTTGGCATCGTAAAGCTTTTGCCAGTCGACTCTGTCGGCCATGGCCTACTGCGTAGATCCGAAGCAGCTCGTTCTTTGCCAGACTACCATACACCGTACACTCAAACGAAAACTAGATACTTGCATGTACACGCACCGGGGGCGAATACGGAGCGCCTCACGACAGCGAGTACGTCACCAGCTGTTTCTCGAGCTATGTACGTACTCCCGTGCACATACAGCTATACAAAAAAAAAACACTACAACATCGAGTGCTGTGCAGCGCACGCCCACCCCCCGCCACGGACACACAAAAACACATGTCTACCAATCTTACCTTGAGCATCTTGGACAGGAAGTTCCCATCGTCGGCAAACACGGGCATGGCCGGCGGTGGGCCGGGCGGAAGCGGAGGCGCCGCTCCCGGCGGGAGCGGCGGGATCATCCCCACCGGGGGCAGCGGGGGCCGCGGCGGGGCCCCCAACAACCCAGAGGGCGGCGGCGGTGGGGGCGGCGGCGGTGGGGGCGGCGGCGCGGCCATCCCGGGCGGGAGCGGAGGCGGCGGCGGAGGCAGCATGGGCGGGCGAGCGAGCATGGGAGGGAGCGTCGGCGGGGCTCCTGGCGGCACGGGCGCCTCTCCCGCTGCTGCGCTGGGTCCGGCGGCGGTCGGCGACCGCGCTCTCACGTCCGAAGGGGGCGCCGGTGGACCGGGGGGGGGTCGCGGAGGAGCATTTCTCGGCGGCGGGGCCCCTGGCCCGGCCGCGCCCGAAGACGGCGGCGGCGGAAACCAAGGCCGTGGTGAACCTGATCCCGATCCGGGTGAATCCGATGGCGGTCCAGTAGGGTCGCTGAGTGGACCGGCCGCTGAGGAATCGAGTAGTCCGGTTGGGGGGGGGCAGATGTGTCTTCGAGAGAGAGGATCGATATGGTTGGGTCACTACAAAAGTATCTGCGGGTCGAAAACCGGGTGTTTTTAATATTGTCGCTATTTTGGGCTCCCACGAACGCTCAAAACAAAATGTTCCCATTCGTATTTATTGTACCGCACATTCTAGCAGGTGCCTGTTCTACCTCTCCTACCAAAAAATCAAATCCCGGATGGCACAATTTGTTCATGCTCCATCCGAAGGTCAACATTGGCAACATCCACACCGTGGCAGGTTCGATGCCAAGAACGGGAGGAAGCTAGGGGAGGTGGAACACATTTCGTCACAAGAACGGCGGTAAACAACCTGAACTTCTCGTGTTTCCCGAAGGGATACAATAACCGCTCGTTGCTCGGTTGTTCGTTACTCGCATCAACTAAGGCCGGCAAGGCCGTCGCACTGCGATGTACAAGTATGTACATTATGGAATCCTGCTCAAGCAAGGTGCGGGTGAGTGGTTTGCCGCGGAAAGAACTGAACAAACACGCTACTCTGTACACATTTTGTTGGGTTTCTAATTCTTGATCCAAAAGACACTAGAGGTAGCGGTACAGGCACCTGTGCAACACTTCCGAGTGCTGAAAATGACCCCGAAATTAAACAACCTCACCTTCATCTCGTGGAGACTGAGGGCCGCCGGGCCGAGGCGGCAGCATCCCGGGGCGTGGCGGCGGGGACCCCCTCCCCCCCCCTCTGTCACCACCGGGCTCCATCATCGGCATTCCCCGAGGGAACATGCCTCTCCCCCCACCCCTGCCGGTGGGAGAGAAGTTACCGGGAGGAGGCCCCCGGCCTCCCATGTCGCCACCTCGCCCCGCCCTCATGTTACCGCTCCCCCGCCCGCCCATGTCCCCGGGCCCCGGACCCATGCCACCGGGTGGAGGCGGGGGCCCTCGTCCTCCTCCCATCATATGGGGTCGAGCCCCGAACGGCGGCATGCCTCGCCCCGCTTCGACTCCTCCCGGCGGCGGCGGTCCTCTCCCAGGCCCACCTCCATCCCCGCTTGGCATGTTGTTGTTCGGCCTCATCGGGGGGGGGCCGGGACGGCCAGGAGGGGCGAGGGGTGGGGGGTGCTGCTGCAGATCCCCTTGCATTGACATGTTGTTATTCGCGGAGTCGTGCCCTCCTGAAACGATGGGCAGGATTGAATAAGACGAGAGTTGGGTGGCGGGGGGGCGTGTGGGTTTCGAGACCCGTTTCGAAGGTAACAAGATTCGTGCGGCGTGGTCGTTACCGTTCGCATGCCCGTTATATTAAACACATCGTATTTTGAGTAGGAAAGGCCGCCGATGGTCTATATGGCAGAATGTGATCTTCACCACTTGTTCCGTAGACTGGGGAACTCTTTGGCTACCTTTAGGGACGTCGAGCCAGATACGTAAGGCCCAACTTTATGGCAGGTCTGCATCTTGTCTGGAACGACAGAATCAGGCGGACATTCCCAGGCCAACACAAGAGAGCAGCTGCTGTTTTTGAGATCAACCCTCACGGTCGGAACAAGGAAAAACTTGTTTGACTCGACCGACATCAACAGCTGCCACGCCGTATGATCGGGAGGGACACACATACACCTACTTTTACCTGCGATGTGTTGATTGAGCAGCACTACATCATCGGCACACAACAAGCACATAGGCAACGGCCGGTTGTGCTGGTAAATGAGATCATGCAGCAGCAGCAGCGACACCATGATCTGTACTGTGCCCTTATCTTCCTTTAGAAAGGGTGTGTGTCCTCTTTGCCTCTTCCTACCAAATGCTCTCCACACAACCCTGGCTCGTTGACATGTCGATTGGTGGATGGTGTATTCAAGATCACTACTGTAGAGAGTCGACACCCACGTCCAACATCTGATCTGTCATCGCCATATACAGATGGCGACACCTACCTACTACACACGGGTGTGGTGCAATGTGCAAATAAACGTGAAATTGGTGCCGCGCGCGCGCAACAACGTCTGCACAACGACCTCAATAACCCAAATCCCAGCCGAAAATTCCCGCTGAGCAGGCAAGGCGAGTCGGGAGTATCTCGGATTTGAAATCCCAGTTTTTCGGCAAATAAGAGCACCATAAGGGGTGGTATGTCCTGTCGTCCTCACTAAGAACTGCAGACTTTCCATAGGAGATGGTCCAAGCATAACAGAGCAACTGCCCGTCCGGGATACCTCTCAAAGGAGTTCGTCAAAGTACGTGCCAGTTCAGTGAGGACTGAACGACACATGCTGCGCACAGCCCATGCCTCTGGGGTCTGTTTAAGACCTCCCACCGAGGATTCATTCGGTCAAGATGATGGTGCTTCAGCGGTGTACAGAGTAAATGCTATTGTACATGCTTGCTGTTCGGCCGTACACAGAGGCTTACGTCCCTTGGCTCCAGGCTACTTACTTGCTGCTGCTGCGCTTTGACATTCGGATGAATCCTAAAACCGCATCCACGCCTCAAATAATGAATTTGGCACGACCGGATGAGCGCAACCACCCAAGAACTTAGCCAAACCTCATGCCCGTCGCTGCCATACCCATATTCCGCTGGACGGCTGGTGCGGCGACTACCAAGTACAGCTGTACTTGCCGTAAGGACGCCAGTACAATAGCTATCGTAAATCGTCATATTGCAAAGCACTATTGGTACCGTTTACAGGTACTCTACTCTTCCTTCACCCGATCCCCGTTTCACCTGCTGCTGGTGCAGATCCACCGGCGGAACCAGCCGCTCCCGGCAGCGCTTTCCTAGGAGGAGGAGGAGGAGGAACGCCACCGCCGGCATTGTTGCCATCGACCGGCCCCTCACCACCGCCTGCTGCTGGGTGCGACGGCATCCTCGGCGGAGGCGGCGGCGGCGGTGGCTCCTGCTGGGTAGCCGATCCTGATCGCGGTGACACTGGCCGCCGTAGCGGCGGTGGTGGTGGAGCGCCAGCAAACCCGGTTTCGGGGCCCTCTTCGTCGTTCATGGGAGGCGGCGTAGACAGGAGGGCAGGGCCGCCTCGAGGGGATGCACCGGGGCCGGGAGGAGACGGCATCGGCGAGGTTCCCGGCGGGGGCGGTGTGGGAAGCAGCGGGCCTCCTCTTCTTGCTGCTGGACCGGAGTCTTCGGCGCCGGGGCCGCGGGGTGGGGGAGGAGGTGGAGGTCCACCGTCTCCGTTGCCTAACATTCTCTGACCTCAGCTTCGTCCTCGTCGTGCTTGCTCCTCTCCCTGCTGCCACTGCTGTACTGCACAGAAACAAGCGCACCAGCGAGCGAGCGCGATTGCGATCGCATCGACAAGCTGCAAGGCCTGGTGACCGGTGGAACGCGCAGTGGGGGGCAGCGGGGGGGGGAGCTGTAACATTTATTGTGCCCCCATTTGTGGTGCGATTTTGGCGTCGCTGTCGGGACGTGTTTTCGAGCGTATCTTCATGTCTTCGTGTCTTCTATTTGTCTGGTTTATGAATGAGCGCCGGTGTGCGGGTCGACTTACACCTGCGCCGTCGAAAAACGTGCGATGTGATACCAATCGCACTTACAACCGCCTGCTGGTGGTGCCAATCAATCGACGTGGGGTGCAGGCGGGTCCATCCAAAGGGCCTTTGACTACAATACATTAAATACTCTGTACATCGCCCTTCTCAGCCTTCGAAGAATTCTCATCTTCCTCTCCCGCTGCCCGGGGGGTCCAAAGCAAAAAAGGGCCTTTGACCACAATAATACTCTGCACAGACTACAGACAGGCATGTATGCACACGTGTGTGAAGAGCAAAAATACAAGTGATGTATGCATGCATAGTACTGAACCTTGCCTCACGGGAAAGGAGGACGCGCGGTGGCATTAAAAGGTACATGATGAACGAACCCATTTCCTCGGGATTCCGGGTTCGAGACAAATAAAAATGATTATATTTGAAGTCTCGGCGCTCGCTTGAAAATCAAGTAGTAAATAGAAGTACATACATAGATATCGGATGTCGAAAGCTCACACAGCAATTTTGTGTGCTGTATCGAACGTTGACATTGTCAAGCAGTTCGAGACGGCATCAGTATGTACTGGTAGGTATGTTCAGTGTGGGGTCACGAGGCCTCGACCGCTCCCCAGTAATAATCTGTTTTCACCCAAACAGCAGGAAGGATCGGTTCGGGAAGAAACTTAACAAGCTAACTCGTTGTTAAGTTCAATAGGTTGGTGTCCGTTCTCACCGCCACCACCAGCCATGCGCAAGAGAGGCTACATAATGAACCAGTGTGCGTGTTTATGCAGGTCACACGAACGACCGTTCCGTGCGGGGGTGCTCACAACGTGGGATTCGCAACGAAAAGAGTACTTCCACTTTTTTTGCCGACGGAGAGTGGACCTTAAAACGCACAAGTCGCCACGCAAAACTCAAGGCTCACTTGACAGTATCAAAAAGTGTGCACAGCCAGTGGTTGTGCCAAGGTATGAAAGCGTGTCATTCATCCCTTTATTAATTTTTTTTCAACAACAAAATTTTGTTCGAAAATCGCGTAAGTCACAAAAAGGACACGAGCGTATATTACAGTCAACCCCGAGTGATCCAAACGCCATCAGCTACTACTACATAGCCGACACCCCCTTGCAACAAACGGTGAGAGAGTCATGTTACGTGCGCAGGAGGACGGGTTGCCGCCATGACGGGCTTTGGTTCAAAAGCTCTTGACAAGCTGGACGCCTGTGCATCGCGGATTTCCGCATCTTACCTGCTGTGACACCGACGGGGCCCAAGGGCCGGACGAAAGACACACCACGCAAACCGTCACGTCACGGCCCCACACCCCACACCCTTTCAAGTTGAGTTCCGATAAAACCACATCAAAAGGTGGCTGATCTTCTTTCCTCACATCAACACCGATCAGCTAATTCTCTCGCTCAAAGCACTACATACCTTTTTCATAAAAAAAAACACTAGAAATCACCAAAGCCATGAACGACGATCAGCATCAAACGCGGTTTTTCATAAATCGCACCCTGAAAAAGAAAGCGGAATGCCTTCCACATGGGAGCAAAAGCCGGGAGTGAACAGAGAGCGCAATTCGAGGTGCAGAAAACGTGTAGAAGGAGACAGACAGGACAACGACACTACAACAGCAGTACAGAGACAATAAAAGAAATGGAATGTTTCTCTCACACAAGACCCCACAGATTTTCGCCAGGAGAACGGACGCCCGCGTGCGTCCAGCGCTCAGATTTCGCCGGCTGTTCGGCAGCTCAGAACGCCACGACAAAAAGAGCAAAAAGCAAACCGACCCGCCGACAAGCAAGACGGAGGGTCGAATCAATCCTTCACGACTCAAGGGAAAAAAAAAACACCGAGAGGTGTTGGTGCAGCACATAATGCCGCCACTCCAACAGACAACAAACGTTCCGCTTCCTCACCACAACATGCAACGATTACGTGTGATGGCAGTCACTGATGATGGGAGTGGCGTTAATGCTCCACCATCTCCGCCTTCCGACACTACAATTCAAGCTCATAAGGGACCTATGCCCACACGACGGCAAACAATATCTCGACCAATTATCACAATTAGGAGGTGAGCGCGTCGGGGGACACCCAGTTGGGGCTCTCGTCGAGCTCCACCCGCATGTTCTTGGCCTCAGGGCTCGAGATCCACTCGTTGATCTTGCCGGTGCCCGACAGGAACTCCCTGAACACGGAGCCCTCTGGCGCGAGGCTGGTGAGCTCCGGCACGTCCTTGGGCAGGCACACGCCGCCGTACGGCGCGCCCACGCGGAGGCCGTACTTGCGGCTGAGGAAGCACTCCGCCGTGGAGGACACCAGGTAGAGCACCTTCTGGGCGTCGATCGTGGGGTCGAGCTCGTTGGCGAGGCCGTAGATGCAGTTGGCGAAGGAGATCTTGAGACCGTTCGCGTAGCTGTACAGGAAGAGGCAGATAAGGGATGGAGGCAGATAAGGGATGGAGACAAGTAAAAGTGTGAGACGAGTTGATTGAATCGAAAATGTAGTGCAAGCCGTACAATATTTTCGACCCGTCACATGTGCTACAGATGACACAAGGGGCATGTTTGGAGAAATGTGAAATTAAAAAAATATATATTTAAGTTTTAGTCCCCCCTCTCCATGACGATACGCACAGCTGTTCGAAGGGCAGAGGCTGTGGTGTTGTGGTGTTGGGAGGGCGCTCCCATCGCGGAATGCGGACTTACTGCGGGTGGATTTCGAAAGCTCACTTGGTCACGCTATAATTGATAGTCCCATCCGCAAACTCTGCCTTTACTTGAGTGGAGTGTAGGGGAAGGGAACGCGCAGCGATGTTTTTAAGGACGCCACTTTACAAACGAAAATGCACGCCCAACCAGACTCGGGCCGGCGGGCTGCGTTGAAAGGGTTTTTGGATGCGCATTTCACACCCGGTGCATCAATATGAAGGCATATACAGCAGGCATGGTCAGTAGACTACTGTAGAGACGCAGAGAAGAAGATGAACCATCATTTCGACATGGCATCAACGACCCGCTACATTCAGTAGTTTTTGAAAAAAAAAAAATGCAACCGTTGCCAGCTGCTTTGATCGATTGATTGCCCTCCGGTTGGCGTTGGCGGGATGAAAGTACGTGCCTGAAGAGCGGATTAACATTACAACACACACAGCCCTAAAACAGTAGCTTCAGAGTGCATGAGCAACAAAACCGTAGGGCTGTGCAGCTTCACCCGTAGAGTGGTTTCACGAGGCCGTGCTTGCCAAAAAGGCCGCCCGGCGGCTGCCGATAGTGTGTGTAAATGAACGAGCGATAACTTCTACACTCGACCGAAGCACCGAAACAGATACAATCGCTTGGTGCGGGTTTGTTTTGCGGACCACCACCTCCAACGTCTTTTGTCATTTCATCGTTGTCGTATGCATATGCACTGCTGTATATATAGTAATATAGTAATAAAGCGCATCAGCCTTGGCAGGGACCAATAAAGCGAGCGCTTCATCCCTCTTTCAAGGGGGGAACAACCACGCCTCTGTGGGATTTCACATTTATCCAGGCCAGCCGTACCAAGAATCGTTGTATGGATCTGAGCAGGCGGCGCTGGATCCAGTGATGTCGGTCAACCCCGCTGCAAGGGTTTTTTCCAAATTTTCGAATGCGACCCTTCGACGTCACCACAACAGCTTTTTCGTGATAGTACCGGCGGGAGAGAAGAATACATCACATCAGCAACCCATCTCTTGGTTGGTAGTGGATAGAGAGAGACACGGCATGAAATCTTGTACGTCCGGGGGGCGGAGCGGAGGGAGATGGGTTATCTGCCAATGAACCACAGCAGAAACATGTGTGGTGTGTGTGGAGAGAGGAAACCCAATCATTGGCTGTTGCTTACTTGTGCACGAGCTTCATGAACTCGGCCTCCGCGATGTTGAGCACGGTGAGCTTCGACTCGTCGCGGCCGACGAACTCGAGGAACGCGTTGGTCATGCGGGCCTTCACGTCCTCCTCTCCGGGCATGTAGCCGAACACCACCTGCCATGGCGCCCGGGCGTCCTCCTCGCAAGAGACGGCGCGGAGGAACTCCGGCTGGAAGGCCACGTGGAACGGCTTGTCGGTCTTCTCCTTGACGGCCGCCATCCACTTCTTGGTCATGCCGGGGGGCACACTGGATTTTGGAGGGCAAAGGCGGGGCAGCAGCGCCAGGGGGGTTCGATTGTGAGGGTTAGGGTACCGGATCGAGTGCAGGGTAAGTCAGTCTAGCTGCAAGAGCGAGGTCGAGGGCTTTTTAACAATTGAGACTCCCATCATGTGGTCCATGGCCGCGCCATGACTTACTTGCTGGCAGTGACGTGTTTGTTCTTGGAACAAGTTTTGGACCCCAAAGGTTACTTAGATTATCCCTTCTTTTGCCGCACCAGGTACACGCGGAGGTTTGCTATGATACTGCCTGTTCTGGGCCATCGAGGGCATAGCAACGGTTGTGCGGGGGAGGCGAAAAGTCGACATCCGCTGTAGGCACTTTCGCCCGAAAACTAAGGGCGGTAGATTCGTTTCGATTCGGAAACGTTTCCCGCGCAGCAAAAAAAAGAGTCGTGCCCGCTTCCGACGTGTCGCGGCATGGACAGCAGAGCTCCCTACTAGATCGTGGACATCACATTGCTGCAGACGTGCACGTTGCCTTGGAGGGCAGGGCTGGACATTGGAGGGCACAAGCTGCCGCTGTGGTGATGATTATTGAGAACAAACGACACACCTGGAAGCGTCGACAGCAGGAGGTGTAACAAAGAAGAAAATAACACACATACGTAGGCCAGGATTCCGCTCGACAGGCTCAGCCACCTCCGCACGGCTAGACGACGCAAAGCAACAGCTGTCTCTTGCGCTTGCTACCACCGCGCAAAGCTACCTGTGGTCTTGGCTCCGTGGCAGAGAGCAGGGGCTCTGCCACTCTCGAGGGCCCTTGGGACAAGCGCCGCCCTTGCAAAAAAAGAACAAATTTCATTTGAGAACTCACGTGGATCGGATCACGAAGATCGGGGTGTTGCCCGTCGACTGCTCGATGAGCTTGACCACAAGGGGGACGGTGGACCAGACGTACTTCATGTCGAGGCGCTGGGTCTCCTTGATGAGGGGGGTGGGCACCGACAGGAGGACGATCTCGGCGTTAAGGTCGTCGGGGCAGTTGTCCGGGTGGCAGCAGGGGATGCCAGCCTCGTTCATCTTCTCGATGATGGCCGGCACGACATCGAAGCCGCGAACCTCGAAGCCGTGGTGCTTGTACGCCTTGGCGTAAGCCCCGCCGACAACACCGCATCCGACCTGGATGATAGACTCCTTGGTTCCGGACATGTTTGGAAGACGGTGAGAGAGTTGGTGGGAACTGAGAGAGGTGTGATAAATCTGGTGTGAGAGAGAATGTGTGAGAGTGTGGGGGTGCGGACGGCGGGGTTGCCCAGAGGCCAAAACGGGAAAAAGAACATTTGCGGACCACGCTTCGAGATCTACGAAGATCTTCCCCAAAAAGTACCCATGGCTAAATGCCTCCGAAATGATCGTAGTGCTCCTCGCTCGCTCCACGAACTGTCGGTGTCCGACCGGGTCCACACTTCTGGCTGCTGGTACACGGGTCAACGCACTGCTGTTGGCGCATGTTGCGTATCGAGGGAGGCGAAGGATAGCAAGAGAAGGGAGAGAGAGCTAGATTATCGCCTACTGAAGGTCAGTCAACGAATACCGTCTCGAGCAAGTATGCATATCCCAAAACACTACAAGTACAATATATTTAACATTTAGCGTGCCACGATGGATTGCCATTGCCAGAGATGCAACTCACAAACAACAGTTCCACTAACGCAACGACCGTAGAGCAGTAGGTTGCAGACGCAAGGCGTTGGGTGCGATTTTTTTTTTGCTACGTGTCGGTTGCTGTTGGTGTATCCCCAAAGTTGATCCAAAAGTTTGATTGTGTTTCAGTAGGACCCGCTCTGGCTATGCCCTGACGGCTAGGCGAGGTAACGACCAACAGCAATAGCGCTTGTAGCTCGCGGGATAGCTGAAGAAGCAGTGATACGTACGCCTGCTCTTTGCATACGCGAAGTGCCTACTCCCTGGTGTCGACCTCTGGCGTAGCTGACCCATGTGCACGCGTAGCTGACCCTGTGTCTGCCGCTGCAATCTTGGGGACATGCACTTACGTGCATGTTGAACTCTAGTCCCATGCCCCCATGGTATTCACACCAATGGGCGAGCGGAGGCTAAGTCCAACAACTCAAATTTTCGCAGCCAAAGCCAATGCATCCAAGACTGATTCACGGGTACCCGGCCTCTTGGCTATGTTTTATTTATATAATGACGCCTATACTCTCCAACGCGCACAGGCCAGTCTATTTAGTACTGGAACCTGACTGGGGGAGACAATGACCGAAAAAGTGGATCCCCGCGAATTCGAGAAGAAGACGCAGGACGAGCTGGACGATATCCTCAACAGGTGCGTCGGGCAAACTAAATTATCATGCACGTGGCGGCGTTGTGTATGGAACCCAAACACACGGGGGCCCCATTCAAGCTCGTAGTGGTGCATTGCAATGCCTGTAGTGTACCGCAGAGCTGTGCGATGCCCAACAGCAGTTTACCTCGGGTCCACACTTTTCGGCGGCGACCGAACCCAGCCACATGTCGCATGCCAATGGCGGAGGTCAGTTAGATAGACAGAAGCTAAGAGCGAGACAGAAGAGACAGATGGACACAGAGTCAGAGACAAAGACAAACAGGTCGAGAGAGAGGGTGGGAGAGAGGCGATCCACAACCTCGAGTGGTTGAAGGTGAACGCCTGAGCCAGGCGACATGCCCCGCGGAGGGCAAAAAGCCTGGCTGGCCCTGTCTACCTTCGCCACAGTCTCGTGCAAGCGTTGGTCGACCGTCCTCGAGAGCAGGGGTCGAGGAATGTACTCTCATTCTCTGTCGGAAATACTGATCAAAGTTGACTCAAAGTTGTTCCCCAGCACGCAGCGTGCCTTTAAAAACAGTGCCCTTGTAAATCAACGACTGTGGCTGCAACATTCAACGTAGCTCGCCAAAGCCTCCGACCCAGAATGTATATTACATGACCCGAATGCGGGGAGGCGTATCTACACGCGTGCTGGCGGTCCTCCTATAGTACTTTCGTCCTCGACCAGCGTGTTGTTGCCGACGCAGCTAGTGTGGTGCTGCAACTGCCGATGGCTGATTGGTTGGGATATCCCAACATCTCCGCGTAGGACGGGCTGCGGGTAACCGTTGCTGTAGGCGATTTGGCTATTCCACCCAGAGTTTGTCAGTACAACAGTATGTGCATACAGCAATTTCCACGCCATGAGCGTGATGTCGTGGTCTGGTGGTTTTTCTTTCGTATGGATGGGTTTTGCCCTGCGTGTGCAGACGTTCCGGTCATGAACCATTGTTGCAAGCATTTGTAGATTGTTGGCTCTGCCAGTTGTCCACGTGTGCTTACGCCAATGTCACAATGTCGCGGTCGGTGTTGCAATCAACCAGCGCGCTGGACGATCTTGAGGACGATGAGGACTTCGCCACGGCGGGGACAGACGACCGGATGCAGGGGGTGGGGGACGCCCAGGGCATCAAGGCCATGGAGGTGCTTGAGTTGCCGACTAGTAGATGTTACTGCCTTTGATGTGACCTGTTTACTGCGCAGTTCTTAAGGCTTGGTATTGCTCAGCAGGAGAGAGATAGCTCCACGTCCGAGCGGTGTTTTCGGGGCGATTGGTCGACCATTGCACGGCACGAGGGGTGCCGTTGCCGAAATAGTTATTAGTTGACTGCTGTGGACGTATGTCATAGATAGCCCGCCCGTCAGCGCTGTAGCAACCCTTGTCGCTTTGTTGTGGACAAACCATGCGCTCAAAGTCTGTGCAGGAGTATGTCGTCTACTTCACCCGTGGTAACCAGGCTATTTTCAAGCGTTTCCCTGGGGTCTTCATTGTTTCCTACTGCCACACACCATCTGCTGTTGCACAAAGGCACGACATGACTCGAGACACTGCCTCGAGAGCACAAGTGATCTGAGAGACCGTTATGAACGAAATCTAGCCTTGACGAACAACCACCCAACCCCCGGTGGCCGGCGACATGCGGTACATTGTAGGACGACGAAGAAGACCGAGCGGCCAAAACCCTGCAGACTCTCATGGACGACTTTTCCAACCCTGAGATAGCCGACTCCCTGGAGAAGGCGTTCCGACACCTGGGGGGGCACGCGGAGGGGGAGGATCTCCTGGGGGAGAGCCTGCGGGCGGCGAAGGCGGCTGAAAAGGAGGAGGCGGTGAGACAAAGGGGCGCATGCACCATCCTTGGTGGTGGTAGTGGTGGTGGTTGTCCGTCGCCTTGGGCCGCTCATGGGAGCGAAGCAGTACGTCGTGGTTTGGAATCCCAAGATGAACGCTAGAGTTATGCGGATGATGGAGGCAGTGGTGGCTGGGTCGAGTATTGGTGATAGTTTGTTGTGTCATGGGTTGTGTGTTGTCGTATCAGAACGCAGGGACGCGTAGGGAGAAAATGAGGCTTTTTCGACACATACGTATTTCAGACTCATCGATCGATTGCCCTTCACATGATTGCCGTAACCGTCATCATCCAACGCAACGCTGATCTCCCATCCGCAACTCGGTCGCTCTTCCCTGGGCGCAACGCCCATGCTCCCGTCCCCAAGCAGGAGAAAAAAGCGAAGGACGCCGGAAAGACCGATCCAACTGACAGCAAACGACAGGGAGCACCGGATAGACCAGACGACAACCGACCACCTGCAGCTGCTAGTGCTGCTGCACCAGCATCAGGAGGGGCAGGGGTAGCGGCGGGCGAGTACGGTTTTGGAGAGGGGGAGGGGGGTACGGATATGGATCGGACGATTTTTCGGACGCTGGAAATGCTGTCGAAGGTGGGTTGGCTTGGGGGGGGGGGTCAAGACCAGCTGACAATGAGAATAGTTGGTGCGTGTGTGGGCTTCAGTCTACCCAGGATAGGGCAGCCGTGTTGGGGGTCAGGGCTAGACTAAAAAAAGCGTGCCCGTCTCGCGCGGGGAAGAGTAGAATTAACGGCAGGGGTTAACGTGCGATGCGTCGGGAGACGAGCGGCGAGAGTTGTGGGCTACCGCGGATTTGTATCATCCTCGCATTCGCGTGTCTGGGCTCGAATCTGAAGGCGTTGGTGCCGCTTTCGTGGCTGCCGAGTACTAGCGGTGTGGTTCATTCATGTCATAGTTCGTTGATATTCTGTCCGGACTACTGCTGTGGGATGCTTGGGTGTGTACCATGTCGATTTCATGGCGAAAACTTCGTCGTATTCGGGTGGACAACAGAGGAAGGAGGAGGAGGCGTCGCCCCACGTGGTGGTGAAACGCCCCACACCAGCAGTTGTTGTCTACGGGAGGGGCTCATTCCGGCTGTGCGCGGGTTTCCGTGAGCATCCTGATATATTCAGGCTTGTTTTTTCCTGGACTTTCGTCGCATGTTCCCTCCGTCGCATAGTTGTCACGCCACATACCATCTCGGTGTGCTAGGCGTGTAGCAGCTCTTGAGGTCATCTGCGAGCACTCTCTCGTTCTTGCTGCGTTCGTCCAATGAGTTGGCTTAGTCTGCTGCATGGTAAACTTGTCATGTAGCTCCTTTGTTGGCGGCGTGTTTGCGTTTTCGTGCGCAGAGTGGAGCGGAGATGGAAGGGCAGGAGGCGGCGGCGATGGAGGGGGCCGGGGAGGATATGATGCGACAAATGATGGGAGAGTTCGGGAAGATGGGAGAGAAAGAGGCAAGACACACGGGCAGACAGCGGGAGACGTAGATAGAGAGGGGCAGACAGCGACAGCTTAAGACAGACAGACAGACAGACAGACAGCGTGGAGACGTAGAGTGAGGGGGACAGCCAGCGACAGATAGACAGACAAGGGTGCCGTTAAAACAAAGATGCGTTGCCGGCCAAGTCCAACATAGCTGTGCCATGTCTTTGTTGCACTCTTTTGCCGCGTAGCGTAGCCTAGCGCCGCCGTGACGCAGTACGGAGACACCCATGCATATGTGACCTGTCGCTAGAGAATGAAAAAGAGTGATCGGTTTTGCGCATGGAACCTACATGCTCGCCTCTCGACATAGACAGACGTTGTCAGCGAAGCAAAGATAGACGGAACACGGGGATAGATTCATGACGCTCCTGACTTCTTGCGTTAGGTTACTGGTGTGAATGTAATGCGATGAAAGATCACCCTGGTTGTGCTCCCCCTTTTAGCAACCTTGCGTTTGTGAGCCCGGGCTGGTGGGTGAAAAGGTGATGATATCGTGACTACATCTGCTGCGGGTTTTACTTTGCAGGATTACAACGGGGTCATGGACAACATCATGCAGCAGCTGCTGTCGAGGGAGTTGATGTACGACCCGATCAAGCAGGTGGCAGACCAAACTAGATAAGCACACAGCGAACATTTTTTTTGTCGTGTTTTGGCCAGCCACACCGTGCATTGTCTCTGGAAGCGCTGGTGTGTGTTGACGGTGATACAACGTCGTTGTGGTTTTCCCAGCGAAATATGGTGGACCCTCTGTGTTTGATTGAACTTGTGTTGTCTCGACATAAACGAGCAAGGGGCAACGGGGGGTGAAATTACCCCGCTATCGGGTGGAAGTAGATATCATACAGTCGTCGACTGGTTACGAGCCTGGCCTTTGGCCCAGAGTGGTGGTGGCAACGTAGTACGTTTTGGAAGCATCTGTTTCCTAGATGAACTCATGATTTCCCAGATGAAGTCATGGTTTCCCAGATGAAGTCATGGTGCTTACGCCCAAAGATGTCTGTCTCTTGACGTGTGGCAGATCTGCGATACCTACCCGGAATGGCTGGCGACACACCGAGAGAGGTTAGCGCCAGCTGACTACCAGCGGTACGGCCAGCAGTATCAGAGCTTTCAGAGAGTTCTCGCCGTGTACGAGGTGAGAAAGGGGGGCGGCAGGGCGCAGGGACACGCGCAACGAGGGCATACGTAGGGTGGGACAACGTCTGCAGACGAACACCTGGTGAAGGAAGGAAGGGAGGCAGGAGAACGTCCCTGTCTCCCTATATAACGCTTATGCACAGGTTCTGTTCTGCCAAAGAGTTTTGTGGTTTTCGTGTTGACAGTCGTCTCATGGAGTCGACCTCGAGCAGACTGTCTGTACCAAGTGGATTGGAGGTTTGGAGAGGATTTTCCCTTTTTCCATTCGAGATTGCAATAAATCCCGACACATCACTGCTACCACCGTATCCCTCGGGCCTCTTTCTATCGGTACTGCGCATCCTGTAGATGACTATGCGTGTGTTCTCTGAAGCAAGAGATGAGTACTGCTGTAGAAGGTATGGGCAAGGACTGTCCTCTACATCCAGGTCGCTTCCCGGACAAAATTCCTGCTGCTCCGTGCGGTGTCACACGTGATGTCCGTTTGGGGTGCGCCGTTTTCTGTCATGACACAAGGACATGTGTTCCGTGTTGATCTGCTGATATGCCGTGGCGCGCTTTCGTCTGCTTGTTCGCCGGTGAGGATGGCGGTATGTGTGTATTGCCGCTGTGGCTTGCTTCTCTCTTTCACTTTCACGTAGTATTGGCAACCCTGTGCGTGCGTGCACCCACCCTGTGTGTCTGTGCCACCCCCGCCCCCCACGCTTGTTCGGCACGTTCATTTATGCGATGTCTTGGTCGGCCTGCTTCCGGCGAAACCCTTGCTTGTGATTGGAAAATGCAGACGGAGCCGGACAACTTTCCTCGATTAATGGAGCTGATGCAGGATATGCAGGAGCATGGTCAGGTGCGGTGTGCCCCCTTTGGACTGCAACCTTAATACATGAAGTGCTCATCCCCGGGGCGATATCAAAGAAAGAGAAGTCCCTAGTTCCCTAGTTCAAGTTGTTTGTCCTCTAACATGCACTCAATACCCAGGACTTGCGTTTGTTCAAAATTCGCCGCCAAGTTTCCCCACGCCAGCCCCACGGACAGGAAGTGCCATCCCAGCCCTCGCTGTTTTGTGGCACCTGTGGACTCGCAACAGCTTTTCCACTTCTACGATTGTATGAGATACACAACAAGTTGTCTGTGGTTACATGCTTCTATTTACATGTTAGTCGTTGGGTCGAATGACCCGACACTTTTGACTCCGGAGGGTTTCTCCTCTCGCTGTTAAGTTCGACTCTAATAGACCGACGCAAGGAATGGCGGGGATGAGAAAAAACACAGATTTAGGTGCTCGGACCCCTCCAACCGAACAAAACGGACGAAATCGGGTCGCGTGTCGCAACAGGTGCCCGCGGAAATCATCAAGGAGTTGGCACCAGGATTGGAATTCAACGCGGAAGGGGCGCCGATCATGCCCAACGTCGGGGAGGGAATGATGCCCAACCTCCCGGGGTTCCCGATGGGCGAGGGCGCAGAAAATTGCTGTGTCAGCTAGGGCTGTCCTTGTTGAGCCAGAACGCTTTCGCGAGCTTGACCCTTCTGCGTAGCGTAGCCTAGGGTAGGGCTGTGCGCCCGAGACGCACTACACTTATCATGTCGCGAAGCGAGGCGTTGTAAAGTTTGTATGTATGTGTGTTCAAAGCCCTTTCAGCCAAAGGAAGAAACATTCATACGAAACAGCGCCGACACCGCATGTGCCGGTGCCGGATAGACGTACCAAGTGCTGGGTCGGTGTAGATTGTTGTAGCACTTCGCGACAGCCTTGCAAGAAACATCGAAGAAGCAATTGGGCACACGACCCATTCTGTGTACTGTCGGCGAAGTCGGAAGCGCGAAGCAACGTTGTAGACGTGATGGGGGTACACGTACAGGGTCGCGTCGACACGTTACGGAGTGGACCCCTGGAACGAATGAATGGAACGTTCCTTATTTCGGAGGAAGTAGATCGCTGAAAGTGCGTTGCCGCACGCGAGGAACTGGTACATCTCATTTCGTTTTGTCAGGAACAAGGAGAACAAGGGCGAGAAGATCGCAGCCAGTACCACGCGAGTGTCGGGAACAAAAAGTGACTGTACGCCAGCTCCCCAGCTCTGTCGTACCTTGGACATCTCTGCGGCAAGCGACCCAATCAAACGAGCAATCCCCACAAAAGAGCGCTACTGCTGTAGTATCTCCACCCACGCTCGAAATCACGGAAGGAAGATCTCGTGCGCTGCACCATTTGCAAAGGTGTGATGTTTTCCTTCCCATGGACCCCAATATGGTATGTAACCACACTTGTACTTGGTTGGGGATTTAGCGACCACGTCATCCTATTGAGTTGCCTTGACCCAGATTATTCGCAACGCACTGATACCATCACGTCTGCCACGGCGAACGAGTTGCTCGGCAATGTCTGTACTTCAACCTATTACCAAATGTTTACACCTAAGGAAAGTGCCACCTGGTACGTGAGGTATTCTGTCCCCTCCATCGCCTTTTTTTGTATTCGTGTTGAAGCTACGCAGAGATTGATACCGACTCAACGGACGGCCTTGTAGACACTACAATTGGATCCATCTTTTTAGAAAGTCAACATAACCTCACAGAAAGACTACCCGTTCGAGATATAACCTCAGTCGAAAGGGATGTGGTGAAGTCTTTTCTGTAAGTGGACTGAAACCGACTGGAGACTTGACTTATTTGAGTTTGTGTAAGCCTAACGCTGCGTTATCAGTGATGCCAGTTGGTGCTAAGAACGAAAGCATCTGTATAGATAGATAGGCGGAACATCCTTGATTTTATGTACAGTTGTAGTCTAGAATGTGGCCTTCACAGGGCACATGGTGCTGTGTCGTTTGACAACTTTTAGAAAACTTCGCTGCTGCTGTTTTAGGCGACAAAATAGACTACAGTATGACAGGGTAGGACTGTATCCACCACAAAAAAAAAATGAAATTTTTGAATTTCAAAAGTTGGAGTTGTACTGTAGATTTGAATGTAGCTGTTTCCCGCTCATTTTGTCTCACTCGGCATCGGCAAAGCGACGGAGATGCGGCGGAACCGCCATCGAATCTCCGGAGATTGTGTAGATCTTGTAACGCGACCTATGCAACAACAAGTAGTGGGTGCGTTGTGCGTTGGGGAGCACAAGTCTCTCCTCGCCGCCAGCTGCAGTTCGCGATGAGCGCCTGCAAGCCCCCATCAGAACACTGGGAAGTGGCCACCCAGAGGAGAGATGTTCCACTAGGCGCTTCCACAAGAAACGGAGGTAGTATCTCTGCCAAGACCGACCGAGCGGTCCACCACAGCAAGCACCACCACTGTACAGCAGCATCCATGACCCTCTGTACACAGTTTGGGCGCACGTACGTGTTGCGCGCCATCAGTCAAAGGAGGTTAACGATCACTGATGGGTTTTTGGGACATTCGGGTACAGCAGTGCGTAGTTTACACCCGAGGCAGATCAGTACCCGCCACGACGCTCGTCGGAAGTTGAAGTTCCTCACTACTAGGGCGCGTCGTGGTATCTCTCTGTAGGTAGGTGCTCGAAATGCCAGTGATACCTGCAAAACAGCTACCTGTAAGGACAAAGTGGATGCTTAATGCTTCAAACGTTCACTTGGAGTGACCTAAAAACGTCCTCAACTGGCAGAGCATGCTTTCTCTGCCAACAGCTCATGTTTTCCATCGTGTCGACTGCGTACCGTTCTGGCGGAAGCTTTTGTACATAACGTGTTTTCTTTCGGAATTTGTATGTAAACAAGACATACGGGTACAGTACCGCAGGCGACATAAGCTAAGCGTAATCGGCTCTGATTTACCCATAGGGTCCGGTGTATCCGGCCCTGTTCAGTTCGTGTCCCGGCCACCCCTCGAACACAGGGGTGTAGAGAGAGATGGTCACACACACTCAGACGGACCCGACTGCTGTGTCAAGAGGCAGACATCCCGTGGCCATCTCAGAGGGAGGCGTGGTTTCGTCCCTGGCTGCGTTAAAGCTCGGTACCATACTCTAGCAGGGCGTACAGCAGCCATGCTCTAGCCACGCACGTCTTACAGCAGTGCAACAGCAGTATAGCCATCATCACCACAAAACCACCACCAACAACAACAACGACAACGCTCGCCGCCTCCCATTTTTCTGGCACCCTCAGGCCCGTGTTAGGCTTTTGCCTGGGTCACCAGGTCCTGGCACACGCGCTGGGGGGGCTCGTTCAGCCCAGGACCGGATCTGACAGGCACTACCCCCTCCAAGAAAGCGATCTCCTTTTTTCATTCGCGGGGCCCCCTAAGGCCGCGGATACAACTGTCGTCTCCGATGCCGTTTCGATGGTTCGGCGACAGAAAAGAAGTGGCATCGGCGGCGGCAGCTGGGAGGGGCCACCGCCGCTGAGGCTTCTTTATCACCACAACGATGAGGTGGGGGGAGGTTGGCTGCGAATAATTCATGAGATATCGTATCAAGTACGTGTTGTTCGCTCGTCAACCTGCGTCAACATGTTCGTATGCTTGTCAAGATAACGATCGTGCCCCCTTCCGCCACGCTCAAAGATAGTTGCGTCCTCAGTCCTAGTTGTTTCGTGGTTGGCCACTATGGAAGTTCCTAACCCCCCCCCTCCCCCGAAGGTGGTGAAACTCCCTCCCAACGCCACGAACATCTCAACCTCGCCGCGCTGCGAGATCCACGGCATGATGATGGTGCCGAAAATTACAACAAAAGCAACAACAACCACGGAGGGGAACGGACGATCTTCGGGGCTGGGAGAACACTTGACGCCGAATCTCTTGACGTTTCAGGTAACAAAAAAACTGCGTCTCGGGGGGTTGGCATCCAACTGCAATCCGGACTTTCGGGTCGGCATCCATCGTTTACGACGTGCCAGAACTTTTGGCCCGTCCACCCCCTTTTTTTCTCCCCTCCTTGATGGGTTGCGCACCCTTCCATCACTGAGTCTGTCTCCTTGCTCGTTGTAGCCCTTCCGGACGTAGGGCCGGGGGGCAACCAGAAGGGCGTTTCCCCCAACCCCCGCCTTCGTTTGGAGTTTTTTTGACGTGTACACGAAGCACGTCCTATCCATACCTACCAACAATAGTATGAGGCTTTCCGATCCCGAAAAGGACATCGCCTAGGGGAGTGGGCAACAACTTAGATCCAGACCCTTGAAAATTGAACGTTGAAAACGGAGATGTTTTGATCTATCGACGAGTTCGCCGTCGAAAACTAGGTTATCTACTGCTGTACCGTTGAACTCCCCCTTAGGAACTCCCCTCGTTGCTTGCTGTCGTCCCCCCCCTATCAAGGTAGGAGCGTTCTGGACAATAGCCTAAGGGGAGGAAGGGACAAGCACCTCTCGACCAGCCCGTCGTTTCTTGACAAGTTCCCGACAACGACCGCAACACATTCATCTTAATCAGCGCTCCCTCCCTCTCCGCGTGCCACCGCTCGCTACTGCTGGCGTTGCTGCCGCAGGCCCACCCCGAGCTGAACTACGAGTACGGCAAGGAGGTGATGAACGGCATGCTGGATGGGGACGTTGCGCTCGGACGAATCACGCACGAGAAAGCCAGCAGGCTCAAGGAACAGGTGAGCTACCGTAAGAGACGGAGGGAGAGATGGCACCCATCCTACAGTAGAGCGATTTTTCAAAAGCTCGACCACTCACTCCACAATTAACCCCTTTAGGGCTGGATCGCCTTTTGGGGACACTTTTTGTCCCCATCTTCTTCACCTGCTTTACCTCGCGAAGAATGGCAAGATTGTCTCCTTCTTTTCACTACTCGACCAGGGGGGGGCCAGGGTACACAGGGACGACTCTAGTCTAGTATGGATGCTTTGTAGAGTGGAGGAGTATGAGGGTAATGAACAGGTCGAATCGCGGGGTGATTACGCCGCGGGTTCAACAGCGAAGTTGCTCCGCGTCTGTCTACCCTTGGGTGAAAAGCGCTACTAGGGGCAAGCGCGGCAGAAGTACCGAGCCCACCGTTGATAGGAGGCACCGAGCAACCTAGGGCTTGAGTTAGAAGGTCTCGCTTTCCCTCTAGAGAAATATCTTGAAAACCTCCTTTTCGTGCCCCGTTTACCACGCTCCCGCCAGTTGCTGTCTATAATCCCTATCAAATGTCCCCTCGTATCGAGGGGACGATTGATAGGGATTATAGACAAGAGACGGCTCAAGTGGGAAGGCAGCTTTGCACTTGCACCCAGGGATGGAACTGTCTGCACCATCCAATCAGCAGGCGTCGTTCGCTCTTTTTCTTACATTTCAAAATTTCGCAAGAACGCCGAATTTTCTGTGCGTGGTAAGGGGTTTAAGATTGATTGTGCCAACACCAGAAAGGTGGTTTCGGAAACGTACACGTATCGTCGAGGGCCTTCCGTCTACGTATCGGGCTGTGTCCGCACCCACTTGGTTGTGGAGCAATCGAGCTCTGAAAGTCGGTTTAGGGGGTACTATCTCTCCGCCTCGTACGGAATACCACGGTACGGTATACGTTACGGTACAGACAATCTTGGTCGTGGAGTAATCGAGCTTTGAAAGTCGGTCTAGGAGGGATACTATCTCTCCGCCTCTTACGGAATACCACGGTACGGTATACGGTACGGTACATACAATCTTGGCTGTGGAGCAATGGGAAGCCCCGTGTCGCCGGATCATTGGTTTATCATTTTGTCTTTTCGTTTTTTTTTAAGCCTTGTACAGCCCGGTCTCGTCGTCTAGGGAAGGATAGGGGAAAAAAACGAACCGGAGTTGTCTGGTGTCCTTCGACCCATTCAAGTGGCGATTTGATCGAGGTGTTTTTCCCCCACAATTGGGTGCAGGCACCCACCAGCCTGCGACCACTAAGGAATCCAAGGTTCTTCTTTTTTTCGATGCTCGATTTGGTATCCCGCCAATCAATGTACCGGCGTTCCATCCGAGTTCATTTACCCGGAAATACCTGTCAACTGCGAGGGTGGGTTAACAGCACAGAGTGCACGTAGATGGTGGAACTAGTTCTGATTGCGGGAGGTCGTCCTTCGACGACATCTCCATTGGCCCGATAGAAAACTGTCCAACAGACATTGTATTTTATGTAACACTCCAGCCCCCCGCTCTCACCACAGCACTGTCTTGGGTGCTTCATTTGCGAACGGCCTTCTCTACCATGTAGTCTGTCTCGAACTGAGTTCTTGCTCCGGGGTTTCGCGCGAAAGCTAAGAAATTGAGCGAGACGGAGTGTTCGCACTTTTGGAGGCCTGAACGAACCCTGCTATTCACGGACGCGCGTATGAACGACGTACCGCTGCTTCTTCCTTTTGCGCACGCCCCCCCCCACCATCAAATTGACGGTTTTGAAGAGCGTAATCGTACCGCCGCTAGAGTACGCCGGAGAAGTATGGGAAGGAAATAAGAAGGTAGTGAAAGAACTCGAGGCGGCGCAGATGAAAGCAGCGAAAATCATCCTAGGATGCTCCAAGCGCACAAGAAATGCAGCCGTAAGGGCAGAATTGGGGATCCAATCCCTACGGTCGGGAAGCGACGCAAGGAAGCTGACATGGCAGTATCGCACGTGTGGAGATGGGAGAGGAGAGGTTACCGAGAATAGTATGGGAGGCGAAGTGGGCAAACAAAAAGAGGGGTAGACAACCCACGGAATGGGTCAAGGTTGTAGAGGACGTATGGAAGGGGTTAGACATCGACGAAGATGAAACGCTGGAAACGGAGGGTCTACAGGGGTTCAAGGAGA